GTCAATAAAAAATCACTCTACCAAGTCCGGAGATAAGATCTCATCATAACTAACAAAACGAGGTCAAACTCGGCATACCTAGTTCTCCTCTTCGAGGAGTTCCTGTAGCATTCACCGAAGTACACCTTCAGGTCACTCTATCAAGTCCGGAGCCGACAGCCGTTGGGGTAAAAAGGTTCTCGAGTGGCAGTCTTGTACCGGTAGGCGAAGTGTAAGCGACCCCCCACTAGATGGAGTGACGACCTGATAAGACATGTAGGAAGTCGATGGATGCAGGTGGCTCAGGACCGTGCTTTGTGGCATTCCTTGGGGGAGGCCTATATTCAGCAGTGGAATTATGAAGGGCTGTAATGATGATGAATACTATGTTATTTGTCAAGTTTTTATCAAATTTGGTTTTTCGAATATTTTGTATTTCTACAGTGATCTTTTTCTACGCAAACAAGCGATACAATGTTCACTCACGACGGCGGCCGAGCGCGGAGTGACTGAGGGAAAGTGTATATGATAAAATGAATTATTACAAGGCTGCATAACACCGAAAATTTCAGGATTTCTCAGCCGAAAAAAATATAATAATAACTAAACTAAACAAAATTAAACTGTCATTTACATTCCATGGCTTCCCATATGATAAATGAAGAGATTAAAAAATAGAATGACTTGACTTTTTCAAAAGTCATCGTGTTTACCACTCCATGCGGACTTGATAAATCTACACCATAAGCCACTAAAACTATTTTAGCTAGCTGTTCCCTGCGACTTCGCCCGCGTGTTATTTGGAGTTTTAATATTTTTTCGCGGAACCCTAATTCTTTTTCTAAAATAAAAGTAGCCTAAGTTACTCCTTGGGACATCAGCTATCTGCCAGTGAAAATTCCACTGAAATCGGTCCAGCCGTTTCGGAGATTAGCCAGAATAACCAGACAGCCGGACAGACAGACTGACGGACAGACAGACAGACAGCCAAAAACTTTAAAAATTGTATTTTTGTTATTTGTACCGTATATACTTTCATATGCATTTAGTAAAAAGCTGTAATTTTGATATTACAAACAGACACTTCAATTTTATTTATTTGTATAGACGTAAAAACAGCCATCAATCGATTAAAACAAAATTATAAGTTCAACAAACATTTATCTTTCTAAGAATGTGCTTTTTATATTAGTTATACTTATGTTCAATACGATTGTTAGATACGATTTCATGCGACAAAATATTGGCGCTTTGCGCTGGCACTTATAAGGCATGCAATAATGAAGTTTAAATCAGTATTCATTACGTAGCCAGATTTGACTTGTCATTATTCATATTGCCCATCCTCTATCTACGCCCAGGCATTATAAATAGTGACGTAAATAACGTCCGTGTATACACGATATTTATATGTGTACATAATTATCTATAATATACTTATTATGACATTCTCTAAAAATTTATCTCGCTGTTTACGATTATGTAATCATTTACGTCAATATTAACATCATCGTAATTTTCTGGTATTAACTTTATTAGACTATCATTTAGGTACTTATTAACTCGGCGACCTCATGTTTGAATTCCACAAATCGCATATCAATATTTTTAATACATACTATGTTAAATAATAGGTAACTATGCCGTAACAAACCGTAACAATGTAAAGAAAAAAGAGGGTCATAGATTACTTTATGATATATATTTGAGAGAAGATTCTGTAAGATATTTTTTACATAATTTTAATCTCTAACATTATGTCAACCTGTATCGTTATTACTTTATTTATTTTTATTTAATGCTTATTATTTCACTATTCCTCTCTGCAATCCATCAAGAAACCTCAAGACCATTGCCGGAAAGCTTACCTTTACTCTTTAAGTTACCTTTAGGAATAGATTTCCTATTCAATTTCAATTTTATAAATTTCTAATTCCACATTCGCGTCAAAACTCACGGCACCGTCCGCAATATGTGGATGCTTGGGGATTCACCACTGTGCGATTTAATAGGAGGTTTCTTCCTCGCATGACTTCTTTTTGGAATCGTCTATCGTGATTTACCTGTACCCTGGGCATGTTAGAATTACAGACATGGCGATTTTATTACCAACTTCAAAAAAGAGGTGGTACTCAATTCGACTGTGTTTTTTTTTATTTTTTATATGTGTTACCTCATAACTCTTTTCTAAGTGAACGGATTTTGATGATTCTTTTATATTTTAAAGCTGTTACTTCTCATGTGGTCCTATATATGGAAATTTGATTTAGGTCTGATCTGACCAGTAGTTTTTGAGTTATCCTTAATAATATAAATTGAAGTCGGTTGTACAAAATTTTTAATTTTACCACTTGTTACAATGTAAAAATAGTGTTACAATGATATACAAATTAAAAACAGGATGACGGATGCCGCAAAAATCAAACGATTCCCGAACGAAAATTACCTTTGTTGAATTTTAGAGTGAAATTCGGACATAGTTGGTGATAATATTACGTGATTATAGTGATGTTCCATAAAAAGTAAAGTGCTATATGAATTTTTCGAATGTCATATCGACATTCGTGACTGTTGTGAACAACCTACGAAATTTCATAACAATGTTGAAAAGGAGGGCTTCTAAACGCTTCGTGTTAGGAGACACAACTGGGGAAGATCCTAGCACGTGGGAGAAGGAGGAGGCTGTGGACATTATGCCGAGTGATATTGTGCAAAAGTTCCAAATGACTTTGCAAATAGAGCCTGCAATGAAAAATAATGAAAAAGAAGACGGGAAGCATTCTTCCATCGAGGATAATAGATTGCTTCGACCTCCTAATACAGGAACATTGCAGTAAGTTTCATATCCTTAAAACAATTATATGTTATATATATTACGTTACCAGAAATCTCACAATTTTAATACTATAGAACATAAAAACTCTCTTGTTATAAACAAATTACTGTTTGTATACACCAAATTGACTCATTAATTATGGCGCAAAGTCCACTTCTGTTTTAATGCCTCCCCGTAGATTGCCTCGAAGGTAGCATTAGTTGCCATGCCATGCTTGATAGACGCGTTGGCAAGCGCAGTTTTTTATTATTAATACATTGTTATCAGTGGAATGCTGCTATTGATATTCTATTTTAGTTTACCTCTATTGCCTCCTATGACACTCACAGTATGATTGTAGATTTTTTTATGCCACCACTACACGGCTTTAAAATTTTATCATCACAGAATTATGATTGTAGCCAAATAATTAGAAAAATTAAAATATTTTCAAGTAGGTCGATAGAGTTGATTCAATATATACGTTATGTACGCCTAGAAACAAATTGTAACACTTTGGCAGCAGCGTGAAAGTTGTGAGACATCTGGTATTGTGACCGACTATCTGGATACAATGAAACTCCTATTTTCGAGGAGCTCCATTTCCAGAAGTGGACGGAAGAGGATGAGGTTAACTTTTTCGAATTATATCGAAATCACACTTGTTTTTATTATGACAATGTTTCATTTTTCTCTTATTAAACCCTCTATTTAAATAAACCATAAAGTAAATTATTCTGTGCTAAAATTCTGGATTTATGTCAAACTTATTTGATAATTGTTTTGACTGAAAATAATAGCTTGTAACTTTTAATCTCACATTAAACAGGTCTGATCAGAATTCTAAAGATGACGTCGGTAACTGGTAACGCAATCATTTTTAGTTTAATTATTTACATTAGTTTAATTTTATATTAAAGTTAGAACATCAATTAGAATATGTTCTTTATTAGTACAATAATAATTTTTAATATAATACTTGCATGCGTGTGTAAATTTAAACGTTATAATTTTAAAATATCATATTAATAGATATAGAATAGGCATAATAATAGATAATTTTTTCACAGCCAATGCAAAATGGAATTTATAATAGTTTTTTATGTACTTTTCATCACAAAAATATATGCATTATAAACCTATATAATTTATATATATACGATGAGCTAGGATGAGCTGTTATAAGAAAATTATTTTGAATTTTGTTTCAAGATTTTTTTAAATATGTATTTTGTATGATATTAATATATGGTATTATTTTCTTTTTCTATTTTTCAATTATTAAACGTAATGTGTCTTTAGTCAGCTTATAATTGAATTACATCATTTCATGGTATACCTATCTAGATGACCCCTAGACCATGTCTAGATGTTAATCGTTTGTTAATTTCATTAGCCGTAGGAATATCGTAGTCTAATAAAAGGTACATTTTTTTAAATACTTGTTTATCTTAATAAATATATAATGTGTATGTGTGTGTCTTATGTGTCTTCGGAAGATGATATGTATCTTCTGAGGTTTAAACTGAACTACATTTAGTTGTCTCCAGTTCGTGACTTTGTTTAACAAAGACTTGATTTAAGACAAGTTTATTCCGGCTGCGGCACTCGACGTGTTACCGACAAATATATATTAGGAAAACGTTGCTGCCCATCTCCTCGTTTGCTTAACTTTGTAACCTCTTACGACACAGAATGATGCAGTAGTGGATATTCATTTATAGTTATAGGCTTTATTTAATGAAGCTGAACTATTTTAGCAATTGGAACTGTTGTATTTTGGTAACAATAACTAGACGAAGGTATTATTTAACTATAAAAGTATGTTATGAACATGCCTGGAGGACAATTTTATTATAACATATATATTATAGAATGGATCATATAAATATAAAAACATCAATGTATTATATTATTTATATATTTATGTATGTTATATTTAAAGAAATATTTATTTGTATCAACGTCTGTTTTGCAATATATATCGATAATTTGACTCGCCCATCTCTATTCTCTACGTAAACAATGCGGAAAGAAAAACATTTTCATATTACATCAGTTTTAATGACAGCAACTCGCAATTAATTTTCATGTATATACTTGTCCTTGTCTTACATCGCGCGTGGAAGAGAGATACAGCTATCGTATGATTCTGACATGAGTGTACTATTGGCGAACCAAACGTCTACAAAACAAACGTCAGTTCAGTGTCAGTCAGTCAGTGTATGAAAACAAAATTTTAGGCCGAGAGATATTAGATTTTAGTTGTTTTTATAATGAAATAAACATATTCCGGCCTCATTTTTTGTGAAACATTAATTGTTACAATACTCATTTGTGTAGAATGTATTCCACGATGAATGGATTGTATTCTGAAGGCCCATACAGGTTAGACTTTTCGATCGTATTTTTTGCAATGCTTATTTTTTTCTCTTTTCGTCTTATTTGTACGAAACAGCAACCCAGAAATATATTTTTAATATGTTATTTATGCATAGATTCAATGTTAATTTGTCAACCCGTTGTATTACGTTTAATTTTTATAAGTATACGGTTGAAGTGATTTCACTTCGATTTCACTAACGGTATTCGATTTCGAATGTAAATGTGGTTATTATTATTATTATTCTAATTTCGTTATTCATAGTTTTCTTTGAATAAAATTGTATTCAAAGAAAATGATGGTGTCTTCCACTTATATTAAACATGTTTTACACACCTAAAATTTATTATAGCATGTGCTTAGAAGTATTTATTTACAGTTAGTTTTATTCATAAAAGTTATAAAACATTAAATCGCAATTATAAGTAAGGTGGCTAAATACCCCATCCTCAGACTGGTTGGGTAGAATCCTCTGAACCTGGCCTCTGGGAGCTTCTGAGGTTCCTACGGCACCACAATTTGATTTGTAGTTGTGCTGGCTTCTGCCTAAAGCTGGCAGTATTAGATTAATTCCCATAAATATTTTTTTATTCTATTTTTTACTATAGCTCAGGCATTTGTCCCGCCACAGAAGAGGAAGCAATTAGCTCTCTACTATGAGAACATAGCTCAAAAAACGAACAATAGATATAGATCCCGTGTTAATAAAAGAGATATGTATATTAATAGTTGATCACTGACTGTTCACACAGCTGACGAGAAATCTTTCTTCATTAGTTTATAGCAGTGACAAGAGTTATCAAAGAAAAACTTGCCTTGGGATGCTTGCTTGGTGGTCAGGACACACACCGAAGGGCCAACCAGCAGTGATTTTACTCTACAGTGGGGATCTGGGTGCACTCACTTACAGCCTAGTGGCAAAACTATCACAACTACACACTCGCTGCTCACCAACAATTATCCAGTTCCTAGCTATATTTGCTTCTTGTTTGTTTTTGTGACAAAATTATTCTTTTATGCACTCCCTGCTACAAATAACTAAGTTGACAATGATAGGTCATTGCTTTATGCTTTATACATACACAACCAAAACGACAATAGGGTGCAGAAATATTGACAATAGCTCTGTTTCCTTAGCAAATTCGGAGCAACCAAATTTCAGGGAAATTTTATTTGCTTTAGTATATTCTCTGGGTTTTAATATTTGTTGCAGTTTTACACAATTTAATTCATAAAATAAAGGCAAGCCAGAGTTTCACAATAAAATTCTTAGTATTCTTAGCAAATCTTAAACAGGCATAGCTTTTAGGAAAGCACCATCTGTGTGACGTAAAATTATCAACTTAAAATATGTGCTTCTACTTTTGTTAAGCACTTTTCTGTTGTTGCATACTCCAAAGGGTAAATTGGAGCCTTATTGTGATAGTGACATTACACTGCCATCTGTCTATTTGTGTTTGTTTGTTTGTCTGTCAGTCTGTTCATCCATATGTCACGGATTCCTAGTTTTAAATGATATGAGTTAATGACCTGAAATTTGGGCAGTTGGTATAGCATGTTAGCCATAAACAAATACAAAATTTTCAATTTAATGAAATTATTTTTCAGGATTGTCTCCAAAAGCAAAAAGGAGGGGAATTATTTTTTTTCCTACCCTAGCTCGTGGGGTGTTACCCAGTGCTAGTTATTAAAACATAAAAATCAAAAATGCTTAAGGTGCTAACCTTAGAGCATTTTACTCTACTGTCTGGCAAGGGGCATTGTGTTCCAACATTGCAATAATGAATAAAATGAATAAATGAACTAAAATTCAGAATTAATAACAAATTTCTGGAAGTTTTATTAATAACACCATTAGTATTTTAAAATTCGTCAGATTTTGCACTTATTCCGTTTAGCCACCCAGAATAGCCACACTAAGGTAAAGCCCGGAAATGTATGTTTGTGTATCCCTCTTCAGACTGATTTTTTCCCTCAACTATGTATAGACTGGTCTAATGTCCAAACAATCTTTTTGGAATGATGATAATAACATAGGGGCTTTTTGAAAATAATATAAAAAGAGTTGACTTATGGACTAAGATTTTGTGGCTATTTGTAATTCTTGTGAAGTATGTCACAGGACTACAAATTCTTTAGAATTTTGGCATGAAACAATTGCTAATGAACTTCAAGTCAAACATCCAATCTTAGTAAATTTGCAAAAAAGCTCTCAGTTTTTCGCTAACACATCGGTTATAGAAAACAATTTTAAAAAAGGGTTAGAAATTTATATTTATAAAGACACATTTATCCTTGAAACCCAAATAGATATATTAGATAAAATATTTAACAATGCAGCACAACAGATGTTAATGTGAAAGAAGAGAGAGATAAGTGTCAGGATCATGCCAAATGGAAGTTAATAAATAGTCTCTGCCTATCCCTTTGGGTGACAGGTGGAGAACTTATGTTTCATTCGTTTAACAATGATAATTTAAGTTTAACAATACTATTTATAATATAGAATGATTCAATTTCATTTCAATATAATATTAAGGTTTTAGTTTAAGTTTGTCATTTCAAAATGTGTAGTTTCTGTCTAAATAAATAATAGTCTATTACTTACATTTTTTATGTATCATTTTATCCATTACTTACATTATTTATTTATATACCTTATATTTTATCATAATTGGTCTTTAAAAATCGAATAACTGTATTGAATTCTGTTATTCCACCCCTTCTGGGTTGGATACAGCACCACATGATTCCGAGAATACACCTTAAGGTGTAAGGTGTAAGGTTTTGGGTGCTTAAACAGAATAAGTAGAATTTTCAGAGATTTAAATTACTGCAATTATTGAATAAAATCAACTTTTTTTTTCATTAAAGAAATCTTTTTGCTTTTTTAGGCCATCTATGTCCCAGGGTACAGTAGTCCACAGTCATCGTTTTCAAGAGAAAGATTTCACAGTTGCAACACCAGAAGAGTTTGTCAGGAGATTCCAGGGCACCAAACCCATTAATAAGGTATGTTTTGGCCTGTAAAAATATTTAAAAATAAATATTATTATACATAATTCATTTAAGTATAATATAAATATTCAAAAATGGCATGTAGTCGATGTAAGAATCTAAACTAACACATATCGTCCCATGGGCGTCGTAAGAGGCGACGATAGGAAACGAACCAGGAGAGCCCATCTCTTGACACAGCAGCGTCTTCCTGATATAAACTCAAAATTTTAAAAAACTGCAGTTACCGACCGGCCTGCGTAGCGACTGTGGCAAAATTTTCCCTATGAGGCAATCTATGGGGTAGGTCTATGTTGAAAAATCGGCTTTTATAGTCTGTAATGGATGATTCAAACGCTGAAGGTTGCACAGGTTGACTGACATTGGGACATTGGTGTTTGTAAGTCACCACAACACCAGAAACATCGGAAAAAAAATGTTAATATTAAATGCAACAAAACTTGTAAAATTTGTTCTATTCATTGTATTATGTATTAATGTCAATAACTTTCAGGTGCTGATTGCGAACAACGGTATTGGCGCAGTGAAATGTATGCGTTCAATCCGAAGATGGTCTTACGAGATGTTCAAGAACGAACGCGCTGTGCGTTTCGTTGTCATGGTAGGTTATTTTTAATCTTCATTAAATAAACTATGTAGTTGCAGTGTAAGAGAATCAATTACCCCATATCATCTCTGGATGTTGTGATACATAGGCTGCACTAAAAGTAAATCGGTAATGGAATATTTCCACTGTTCCTGTCATATTAAAATCTTTTTAATTGTAAACTCCTTGGTTTTAAAAATCGAATACCATTTATTTATTTAAAAAAAGATTCTCGGTCTTGTCACAAGGTTTTGTCAAACTTGTTTAGTCGTTGAGAAAATGGAATTGACTCGAGAAATTCAAGAGCGATGATTTATTATGACTCGAAGTGTTTTAACACAAAAACAGTGTGTTGACCGGATGATTTCTGCATTTGGTGATGAAGCCCCATCCAAAACCACAATTTATGGCTGGTTTGCTGAATTTCAACATGGACGTGTCAAGCTCAGTGATGATCCCCGTCAAGGTCGTCCAAAAACTGCAGTCACCCAAGAAAACGTTGATGCTGTGCGTAAGCTGATTGAGGAAGATCGACATGTGACATACCGCGAAATTCAGGCAACTTTAGATATTGGCATGAGTCAAATACAAATAATCTTGCATGAACAATTAGGTGTAAAAAAGTTGTTTTCTCGATGGATACCGCATTCGCTCTGTGAAGAGCAAAAAGCGGCTCGCTTTACTTGGTGCGTCAGAACTCTCGAAAGATTCCACGCAGGATCCTCAAATGCTGTATACAACATCGTATCAGGTGAAGAATCCTGGTGAATCCTGGAAAATGAGTTAAAGCCAACAAAAATTGTTCGTTCACGGAGTGTTGCAAAAAAAATGGTGGCCACCCGGCCATGTTACGACTATTCCTCTTGAGGGACAAAGAACGGTTAATGCAGAATGGTATGCTAGCATTTGTTTGCCACAGGTCGTTTCTGAACTCAGTAAAGAGAACTGCAACCGCCGCATCATCCTCCATCACGACAATGCGAGTTCTCACACCGCACATAGAACAAAAGAGTTTTTAGAGCAAGAAAACATAGAATTATTAGACCATCCGCCGTACAGCCCCGACCTAAGCCCTAATGATTTCTATACTTTCCCTAAAATAAAGAATAAATTGCGTGTCGTGCTGTGGACGCCTACAAAACGGCCATTTTGGAGACCCCAACTTCCGAATGGAATGGTTGCTTCAATGATTGGTTCCATCGTATGGAAAAATGTGTCAAATTTCGCGGAGAATACTTCGAAAAGCAATAAATACATTTTTCAATGGTAATGTTGTGTCACTTCCTTGATTCCCGAAATTTTCAGTGCCGCCCTCGTACGCGACAGAAAGGAATCAAACAGGAAATGGGCAGTAGTATCTTCCTGATAACAATTAAAAATATATAAAAAAAGACCCAAAATAAAAAGAGCTGGTGATCTTTAAACTGCTGAGCAGATTTTCTTGAAACTGAAGCAATCAAAATCGGTACATCCGTTGAGGAGCTATGACGCCACAGACAGACACACAGATACACAATACACACTACAAACATATAATACCCCTCTGTTTTCATTGGGGTTTAAAAAACTGCAGTTGCTATCCTGCTTGCTAAGATACGCAGCTATGGTAAATATCCGCCATATGAGACAATCCATGGGGGAGGCCTTATGATAGGTTGAAATGAATGATTAAAAACACATTAAATAAACTGACATTTCATGTTATGCTGTATTGATGTGCGGTTTAGAATTTTTGTATGTAATTGCCCGTATAAAGCTAAGTCTAATATCATTGGTGTTTTGCAGTTTTTTTAGCATATGGCAAAATCTAATCTAAATAGACTATTTAATATTGCATTTCACCAATTTAAAACAAGTGCTGCACTGAACAAGTGTCTGATATCATTCTGTCAATTCCATGCCTCGCTGGATTGAATTTCTTTGTTTCAGTCAGTTGTTATATCTCCATCAGTATTAACGATTAGGTGTGACATGGTGATGAACACGAATATGTGAAATTAATTTCATTATTTAAAAAAAAGAGTCGTGGTAGCTCAGATGGTTAGCGCTCGCTGTAAGCTTCACAGTACTCGAGCAACCCGGGTTAGATCCCCGCCGGCACCAATGAAATTGTTAATAGCAATTTTAAGTGCTGATTTACCAGGTGCTCGGCGGTGAAGGAAAACATCGTGAGGAAACCTGCATGTCTGAGAAATAAAAATATTTCGAAAACATGTGAAGTTCGCCAACACGCATTGGGGCAGTGCGGCGGACATTTCCTTGCCCTAAAACCCTCTCAGAAATGAGAGGAGGCCTGTGTCCAGCAGTGGGACGTAAATAGGCTGCAACTTTACTTTACTTTTATTTAAAAAAATATAGCGAAATATTATGCAATTATGAGGGGTACCATCACATCTTACCAAACCTTATCAAAATAAAACACCTCATGTGATTCATGGATGCCTGACATATTTTTTGTAATTGTTTTTTATTTCAATATGGCCACTGATATTGTGGTTAGGTTAATACATCTGCCAATATCCGGTCTTTTCGGTTGGAAAGGAATTGACAGTTTTTGAGTGACAATGTGGCTAATAAAAAAATTCAACTAAATACAGTGTAATGAACAACACAATGCAGAACAAACATTATGGGAGGGGAGTAGCCGGAGCAGGGATTAAAGAATTAGGTTAAACTAAAGTAAATAATTAATAATTATATTTTTATGATGTTAATGTTGTTACTTGAATCATAGCAAAATTTTGTTTACAGGTAACACCAGAAGACTTGAAAGCAAATGCAGAGTATATAAAGATGGCAGATCACTACGTGCCTGTGCCTGGAGGCTCCAACAACAACAATTATGCCAATGTTGAACTGATTGTGGATATCGCTGTCAGGACTCAAGTACAGGTGAGTTTATCATATATTAAATATAAAAAATATATAGGTGAGAGATAAACAGAGGTCTAGTGTTAGGTCAAAACGCGACTGCTGGTCATGAGGTCTTGGGTTCGAATCCCGGATTGGGCCAAAGAATCAGCTATTGAGCTTTTTTGTTAAGAAATTCTCAGTAGCAGCTCGGAGCATGGTAGTTAGCGATGTTTCACTGCCGCGCCTCGGAAGGTACGTAAAGCCTTTGGTCCTGTGCCTGAATTCTCTTTCATTGTGTCAGATTGCCATCCCATCGGACTATGGGAGTAAGGGAACAGAGAGTGCACCTGTGCTATACTTTGGCACTATAATCCTGTCCTGTGCAGATGGCTAATCTATGTTGAAACAAACCGACTGAGACCGAAATTCGATCTAGAGTACATTATGATGAAAAAATGTTTATATTTTTTCAGGCGGTGTGGGCCGGATGGGGCCACGCGTCAGAGAACCCCAAACTGCCGGAGTTGCTGCACCGAGCAGGCGTGGTATTCATCGGACCTCCCGAGAAGGCTATGTGGGCGCTCGGAGACAAGATCGCGTCCTCCATCGTCGCCCAGACAGCTGACATACCTACATTGCCCTGGAGTGGAAGCGGTGCGTGGGATTGATATTGATTTTAAATTAAATCTATAAAAATAATTAAAATTGAAGTGTCTGTTTGAAAAGTCAAAATTACAGCCTTTTACTAAATGCATGAAAGTATATATGGTACTTATAACAATAATAGAATTTTTTAAATTTTCTGTTTAGCTGTTCCCCGCGACTTCGTCCGCGGGTAATTTAAGGGTTTTAATTTTTTTTGCGCGGAACCCTAATTATTTTTCTAAAATTAGAGTAACCTAAGTTACTCCTTTATAAGGAGTAACTTATCTATATCTTATTATATAATATATATATCTTGTTCTATATCAGCTATCTGCCTGTGAAAGTCCCATTAAAATCGGTCTAGCTATTTCGGAAATTAGCCGAAAGAAACAAACAGACAAAAATTTTAAAAAATGTGTTTTTGTTATATGTAGTGTATACTTTCACAGGCATTTAATAAAAACCTGTTATTTTGGCATTACAAACACACACACATTATTTATAATTCTTCTGTCTGTGTGTATGTGACTGAACTCCACCTAAACGGCTGGACCAATTATGATAAAATTTTGGTGTGTGTAAGTTGATTAAGATAATGTTTTCTACCGACTTCAAAAAGGAGCCGGTACTCAATTCGACTGTATGTTTTTTGATCAAGGTGATCAAGGTCTGACCGATAGTTTTTGAGTTATTCTTAATAATTTATATTGAAGTCGGTTTTACAGTCAGTCAGTCCCCCCCCCCCCCCCCCAGGAATATAAAATAAGTAATTTTTTACTTGTGTACACATCTACATTTATTCATATGAACTACGTAACATACATATATTATATATATGCGCATACATCACAATGGAAACTTTTTTATGACTTATGTGTTTATATTTTTGCTTTAGAAATAAGGTGATTATGAACACCATATTTAATTATTTTTGTTATCTACGCAGTAGTTAATTTCTTATAGTTTTGTAAACGTACACTTATGATGACGACTGTTATGAACAATGAGTGCTGAAGAGATCTCTACATTTGTTAGCCATAAGAGAGTAATAATGAACTCTTTTTTATATAAGATAGGGTGACAAACAAGCACACAGTCCACCTGATGGTAAGTGGTTGCTGTGACTCAATAAAGAATCAAAATGCAGATATGTTATCACCCGTGAGGACTAAGATGGAATGCCTCCTTTCCAGTAAAAAGGGTCTCTGGTTCTCTACACTCACCATACGAATCAAGCTACCATTTTACGCTGGTATTCTCTGAGAGCGTGCTCTTTCCGCGATCGAGCCGACCCATTCGTGCTACAACTATACTACTAATATAGCTGCAGCATGATTCTACTACGTAGACATTTTACAAAGATCTATGGCTACAATTGATTAAGAATCAAATTGCAGATGCACTGTCACACCTGAGGACTAAGATGGAATTTCTAATTACCAGCATATAATGTCTCCGGATCTCCACACTTACCATACAAAACGTAGGGGTATTATGCTGCTTTTCATGCTGGTATTCTAAAAAAGTACTAATGTGTAAACGCTCTGCGCATTATTAACTAAATTTAACTTGGTAGAGCTATGAACAGATCAGCTTAACTGAGGCAACACTTCGCTCAGATTACCAGCATGAAATAGCAGAATAACGCTGTTGTGTTTCATTTGGTAAGCGATGGGAACCCGAGACTCTCTACTAGTGACATCTTAGCTCTCGGGCGTGATACATCTGCATTTTAATCCTTAATCTGTGATAAATGTGTACCACAGCATTAATTATCATTAGGTGGACAGTGTGCTCTTTTGTCACTATTACTTCTATAAAAAAGTAATAGAAAAGTGTCATTAATTGTCTTTTTCACCCTGTAATAATCTGATACTGACCATGAACTCCTCTGTAATAAGGTTTTGCAGAGACCCCAGACACCCAGACATTTGTTACCCATCACTGATTTTGGACTCAACGTCAATTTCAAATAAGTTAACTATTAGATTTTTTTTTAGTAAAGTAATGTGTCACAGCCAATAACATCATATTAAAAGTGCACTGCCGTACATAGGCCTCCCTCATAGATTGCCTCATAGGGGAATATTTGCCATAGGTGCCACAATTGGCAAGCGGCTTGGCAACCGCAGATTTTTATTTTTATTCATTTGTTATCAGGAAGATGTTGCTGTCCATTTCCTGGTTCAGTTTCTCTCTATCGCCTTTTACGACACCCACGGGAGGATATTAGGTAGTGGATATCCTTACACCGTCATTTCATGGTTACCATAAAGACATTTTACAGTAATTTAAATTATTTGACAACAGATCTAAAAGCTGAATACAACAGTAAGAAAATCAAGATATCATCGGAATTATTTGGCAAGGGATGCGTGTCGACACCTGAGCAAGGGCTTCAAGCTGCGAATAAAATTGGTAAGTGTGGCAACTGACTACTTGTAAACATTTACCTTGTTATGGCCACCAATGATTAAAATGATTGATTGATTACATGATCCATGCTTAAATTGTTTTTTTTTTACAATGTTTAAAGCTTAAATCTTGTTGCTGTATATGAAAAACCCATCTGAGTTTGTTTAATATCATTAAAAATATTATTAAAAAAATTATAAAGATATGGCTTGTAATATATTTGTTTAAATTATGTGATTGCTTATAGTACACACATTTTAAAACAGGATTTCCTGTAATGATCAAGGCATCCGAAGGTGGTGGCGGTAAGGGGATTAGAAAAGTTGAAAATCCTGACGACTTTGCTAATATGTTCCGCCAGGTAAAGTATAAAATATAATTTGAGATTGTATATATTTTCTAACAGCAGTGATGTTAGATAGTTGCCCAATGAACTTGGTACAGATGTTTCTAAAACCTGGCATTTTAAATTAAAAATTGGTACACTCATACAGTAGTACAGATATTATAGTATGTGTTTACGGATATGGTATAATGTACTAACGCCTAATAAAGTACAGACGATTCAGGCTATACATACATTATAGCTTACTGTCACACTTGTTAATAAATAATAACACGCTATGAAAATAAGTTGGCAAGTGTTTTTTATTTGATTGAATTGGAACATTACTAATATCAGGGATTAATATTATTTATTGACTAGCTGTTCCCCGCGACTTCGCCCGCGTGTAATTTATTACGATTGGATTTCATATGTTTTAATTTTTTTTACGCGGAACCCTAATACTTTTTCGAAAACAAAAACAGCCTAAGTTACTCCTTATACATCAGCTATCTGCCAGTGAAAGTCCGGTCAAAATCGTTCCAGCCATTGCGGAGATTAGCCGAAACACACAGACAGACAAAAATTTAAAAAAATGTTTTTTTTTTTGTTATAAGTACCGTATATACTTTCATGTGCATTTATTAAAAAGCTGTTATTTTGACATTACAAAGAGACACTTCAAGCTTATTTATTTGTATAGATAATTCAATTATTATAATTTGAAAAAAAAATATAAAAAACAAATGAATGGCACCGACAATAGAATGCAAAATTTTGATCCGAACATTTCAAATTTACCTCCGTCTGTCGCTTTAGGCATGAAAATATACCTTCGCTGCACGGCCCCCTACAAGGGGCTAATTTAGTGAGGCTGTCACACGCGAGCTCGTGCTGACGCGAGCCTTACGTTAACAAAAAAGTATTTTTCTCTTTATTTAGGCACTTGATATTTATTTTTGATTTTATTCAAGTATACCCACTAAAAAAGCCAAAAGGTACTGCGTTGCATACGGGTAGCTTATGATAACAATAGGAATGTCAACTTTCATTCTTTATTGTTCCTAAGCATATGGAAAAGTAAGATATTATTATTTATAGATAGATCTAGATAATTAGGTACCTTGTTACTGACGCCGTAGTTACACTATTATCTATTATGTGTCTAAAACTATTATGGTGTAACGTATCTAAATCTGTTGGCTATTTTAATTAAATATAACGTAATTAATAGAATCAGGCGTTACTTTGCGGAAATCCATTATATAAAAGCTTAAAAAAAATAAAAATGTTGTTTAAAAAATGTTTTTTTAAAAAACGTAGTTTGCGAAGTAAATTTTTTTAAAAGATTTTATAAAAATAACGTATCATATCATCAGCCTAAATATTGTCACTGCTGACACAGGGCTCTCCTTATACGGAAGGGGTTTAAGTACTGCTCAAACCCCTTCCGTATAAGGATCCCAATGCGGATTGGTAGACGGAGTACTAGATAATCAGTACTTCTTTAGTTTCCTTTAGTCGCCTTTTACGACACTCACAGGCAGACATGGAGTGATGCTATCTACTCTACCGACATCACACACCACGTAATACCACAGTAGGAGCGGCCTTAACAAAAGCGAGTAACGGACTAAGTGATACAAACTCTCGCACGCGGACGTAAGGTGCATTTTGATTTAATATGCGCAACACAACAATCGGTAGGCTATTTTAACGAAGGTCGCATCTGAGGCGTGCAAAGTATTGTGAACCAGCCATTTAGAAGCCAGCCCATTGCCACTTCGGCTTACTAATCCATATAGTTGGCTGAGACCCATGCTTTGTGGCATTCTTTGGGGAAGGCCTATGTTCATCAGTGGACTGTATTGTCGTTTGGTGGCGGCGTAAGTGAATCTATTATTCCATTTCGCTCCCTGGATATACTAATAGGCGACCATACTATACTAAATAACATTTATTTATTTCATGTATCGAACCCTTAAAATCAAATCATGATAGTAATAAATCAGCGTTAGAGAATCTGTTACAAGATAGGTGATTAATTCCCTTATTCTGCCACTAAAGGCCACAGAGTTTGCTAATTAATTTATTTTTCAGGTACAAGCGGAAGTACCAGGGTCTCCTATCTTTGTAATGAAGCTGGCCAAGTCAGCTAGACACTTGGAAGTGCAACTTTTAGCCGATCAATACGGTGAGTTCAATGAATGTGAACAGGCATTATTATGGTTTAAAATAGCAGATTAGAAAACTATTTACTAGATGCTAGAACTACTTTTCTATCTAGAAGTCCGTCTGGGTAGGTACCACATTCCTTACCTATTTCTACCTAGTACTATTTCTAAATATCTAATAAGTAGTGCTTGCATTGCTGTGTTCTTGGCTGAAGAGTAGAGAGGGCCTGTGTAACTTCATGCTGTAAGTCATTCTGTCTTAGGCTGAGATCTATGGATCATACTTTGACTTTGCTCAGACTTAGCATACGACAAACTTAGCTGAGTATATGCTCAGTATAATCTTTGATTCTGAATTTATAGTTGTATCGGGCTAAGATTAAGTTAAGCTTATGCTAAGGCCCAGAGAGTTCAAATATTAATGGATGATTCGTTCCACGCATTATGTTTTTGACTTTACTGTATGAAATTAAAAAAATATATATTATATTTAAAATTAAAATTAATGTATAAAATTAAAAAAATATGTATATTTAAAATCGAAAAAAAGTGTAGATTATATTTCATAAATCATTTATTATTACATGAAGTAGAAAACGGTCCTATGAGAACAGGAACTGATGAGATTAGTACAAAGTAAGAAAAAAAGAAAAAAATAAGATTTTAAGAAATTCGAAATAAGATTGAAACTACGTAAATAGAAAGTGAATTAATGCTATTTAAAATTAGAAGACGGCCTAAAACTACCTATTTATTGTTTTAATAAATTAGAGTAACATAAAAACAACAATTTAAAATTAATACGGTGGTTTTGAATAATATCCTGAGTTTTACGTTTGCGCTGCGCTTTGCTAAGCGCGCACTCCGCACGACTTCGAAGTTAGCTCTATAAATACCGACATTGTCTTAGCTCGAAAGTAAAGTCTGAGCAAAATCAAAGTACGGTCTATAGATTTCAGCCTTAGTCCTCAGATGTAGCAACACATCTGTGGCGTTCTTTATTTGAAGGTGGCTGCAAGTAATAATAATTAGTTTATCCATGAAATAAAATAAAATCAGTTTTTTTTATTTTTACCGTTCTGACAACCCTGGCAATTTATTGTTTATGTCAATGTACATTATTGTTTGTATCAAATGCAATGAATAACTGATTGACTGTTCTTAGGCTGTGGTATTAGTATGTACATATAAAATTAAAAAAATACCGATAAAACCTTCTTATCATATGTTGTAAATTTCAAAATTATTATCACTAAAAAACAATTTTCGAGAAACCAGATAAATATAGAAAATATGTAAGCTAGGAAAGCGGAGCTAGCCAAGTTGTCTACAAACTTTCGCGATACTACTACCATAAAAATGAATGGCAATGACATCTTTCAATATTAAGTCTCATCAAGGGTATGGTAACATTTATTAGATATTTTGGTTTTTTCTAGGCAATGCGATTTCCCTGTTCGGACGTGACTGCTCCATCCAGCGTCGGCACCAGAAGATTATTGAAGAGGCACCAGCGGCTGTCGCTAGGCCCGAAGTCTTTATTGAGATGGAAAAGGTAATCTTTTTCAGTGCAATTTCTTTTTTTTTAAATTTATGATATGTGTGAGTGAGAGGCAATGATATTTATAAATAGGCAGGTGGATAGAGAAAGAGAGAGATATATAGGCAGATAGATAGATAGAGAGAGAGAGAGAGAGAGAGAGAGAACGAAATAGAGAGAGATGTATGTAGAAAGAGACAGAGAGAGGCAGAGACAAAGAGATTGTGCTTTTTGGTGAGTTGTTTTTTCTTATATGTTCTTATCTTTTGTTTGACTGCCAGTAATGTAGTAATATTTGTCTACTTGTAGTTTAATTGGTTCAGAAGGATTTTTTCTCGTAAAATGTAGAATGCTTTAGGATTATAACCATTAAGGATTATTTTCGTATATCAATATCTAACATAACATATTTGACCATATTGTGAGTTGGATCCCTTTTGCATAACTACCTCAAATCGTCTGGACGTGTGACTGAGCATTTTCAAAAGTTTGCAAACATTTGTTTCGCAGTCGGCGGTGCGGCTGGCTAAGATGGTGGGGTACGTGAGCGCGGGCACGGTGGAGTACTTGTACGAGCAGGCCACGGGCGCGTACTACTTCCTGGAGCTGAACCCGCGCCTGCAGGTGGAGCACCCCTGCACCGAGATGGTGGCCGACGTGAACCTACCCGCCGCGCAGCTGCAGGTACCCTGCACCAGCTCCTGGCACCTGACCATGTGACCATGGCTGCTGTAAAACACCCGAAAAGTCGGGAATTAAAAATAAGCTAATTTAAAAAAAAAAGCTAAACGGGATAGAATCCGTAAAAGTAGTTACGATTAAATATCGATGTAGTTGTTCGAGTAGTAGATAATTTACGGCAAAGTAATCTTAAAATTGTTCAGAATAATGTCTATAATAGCGTAAAGTTATCATTACGATATCTAGCGCCGAGTAATAGAGTATGTTCGTCAGTCTTCGTACTTTTTGAATATAAAACATGATGCTTTCTATTGGTGCATTACTCTCTGCAGCCTGCTGGAGGAGGTTTTAAATTCGCTGGCTAAAATGTGGAACGATTTTCCGCCACTAGTCCGGTCTACCCTATCTTCATCTACCTTGCGGCAAATAAAACGCAAGTGGCTGATTCAACAACAGTCTGACTGGCCGTGTATGGCTCAGAAACCCATTGAAATTAGTGAACATTTTTATATTTGTATTTTTATTTATTGTTTTTTTTTATTATTAATATTTTATATATAAAAATTACCTGTCACATTGTTTGTCCGCGATGAACTCCTAAACTACAGAACTGATTTCAATGAAATTTCGCACAGCGTATGCAGTTTGGTCCAACTTGAGAGATAGGATAGTTTTTATCCCGATAAGTGACCCTTAATATTTTTTATTGCGAGGGCAGAACAACGTCTGCCTGGCCAGCTAGTTTAATATATTTTAAGATACGTGTGGTTTCATCACTGAACTTAATCACTGTATGGTTAATGCGCAAAAGCTGTGGCTGAATAGCAGGTTTTATTAGTTTCCCGTTACAACTGAGTCACAGACCGTATTCTCTCTCATACAGTCGGTAGTAGTAAACACTGACACCTGTCCTTATTTCGATTTGTTTAATTGTACCTAGATCGCCATGGGCCTGCCTTTGTACCAAATCAAGGACATCCGCCTACTGTACGGCGAATCACCTTGGGGAATGACTCAGATCGAATTCGATGAGCCTAAGCAGCGGCCTTCACCTTGGGGTCATGTTATTGCTGCTAGGATCACTTCCGAGAATCCTGACGAGGGTAAGTTACGCATTTTCAATTCAGTTCAGTTTAGTTTTTATACGTGGTAGAGCTATGCTGAAGCTATATTATTAGTATAGTTGTAGCACGAACTCGGCTTGACCGGGGAAGGACCACGCTTTCACAGAATACTAACGTAAAATAGGAAAATGGATATCTACAGATGAGGTCTTGGTGACCTAAGATTCATGTTTTACCGGAGCTTAGGCACCAGATTTTCATCTATCAATAGTATTGTTTCAGATGCAAACACATATTCTTTGTTGCTCTCTATAATGTATATTGTTGGTGGAAATAAATAAATAAAAACGTTTTAATTGTTTTTAGGCTTCAAACCATCATCAGGCACAGTCCAGGAGCTGAACTTTAGGTCTTCGAAGAATGTGTGGGGCTACTTCAGTGTCGCAGCATCTGGAGGACTGCACGAGTTTGCTGATTCACAGTTTGGTCATTGCTTCTCTTGGGGCGAGACCAGGGAGCAGGCAAGAGAGTGAGTAGACCAGAGAGTTAGTTATAATTTATAATTGTGATTTTTGTCACCTTGGTGTCAATCTCCATCTCTGTTGGTTATAGGTTTAACATTTTATACTTGTTTTGTTGTAATTCTTTATTTAGTTTTCATGAATAAATATAAAATAACATTTAAATTTAATAATCAACTATTGTGGTGTGTGGATAATACTTTTTTTTCCTCTTTCTCTTTCGTTTTACTACTCTCATAGAAACTCATAATTTATCGAAATCGAAAAAAATAGTACTATAATTTTGTATATATTTTCGTGGTAAGTATTTCGAAATATTTAATTTTGTTCTTGCGACAAAAATAAAAACAAAACCTAAATTTTCACACATTGTAAATTTAACATTATAAAAAAAATAACGATCTTTAAAGGCTGCGAAAAGTACAAGAAAGAGCGGAGCGTAAAGAGCAACAGGCGGCGTCATGTTTCCCCATTTTATCGTAACGCGGCAGCAAGTTTTCAACATTAGTATGATACGAAATAAATTTCCAGTAGTCAAAGTACTGAATGTATTCAATAAATTTTTGTTCTCCGACAATATAATGCTACATATAGTTGCTGCTATCATTTTATAGTGTTTAACGTAGAGCCATCCTGTATATATAAACCGTGTATTTGTCAGGAATCTTGTGATAGCTCTGAAGGAGCTGAGCATCCGTGGAGACTTCCGCACGACGGTGGAGTACCTGATTACGCTGTTAGAAACCGCCGCCTTCCAGGATAACAACATTGACACTAGCTGGCTGGACGCACTCATCGCAGAGAGGGTACGTGGCTTATAAGTTGTGTAGTAGATTAAAAAAACATGTTGAAGTTTGACAATCACAATTTTTTTTTACGTAGAGACAATGTTTTTATCTCATTTCATTTCTATGATCCTTAAAAATAAATAATATCACATATGTTTGCTTATAGGTTCAATCTGAAAAGCCTGACATCATGCTAGGAGTGATCTGCGGTTCCATTCTTATCGCGGACTCCATCATCACAACACACTTCCAGGAGTTCAAGAGTGCTCTTGAAAAGTAACTTGATTTTCAGTATATTGATTTTGTATGAACTTTGTTCATTCACATTATTTAGAAGAAACAGTCACCTTAGTTTGTATCGCTTAAAAGATAATTTGTTTGTTTTTGTTTTTCTTGTTCTGTTAACTATTTTTTCGAAAATATTCTTAAGAATTTAGCCATGAACTTCGAGGGAAGGCGATTCGTAGTTTATTTTGTTTAGACTTCATCCCATAAAAAAGTCATAGAGTACAGGAACGTAGCATAGAGTAAGTTTCGCTAGTGTAAGAAATTATCCCACTTTTAATGTTAGAAACTATTTTCAAAATTATTTAAATAAAAGTGTATTACTCGTATTACAAATTACTCTGAAGCTTAATTGTTAAAAATAAGTGAGCGGATGTTCAACTTTCTCTCTTGCTTACGCAATTAATCATTATCAGGAATGAGACAGCGTACTGCACTACACATTTACTCGTAGTATAGAGCACATACAGTTCCATCAACCGTAATATGTCCCCGGCACAATCAAACATTGATGTAACGTGAAGGACATAATTACATGATAACACCAAAGTATACAAACCAACAGCAACACCAAACATCTCAATGTAACACAGGGCGGCCTCTCAGTAATACAATCTTCCTTGCTTACACTAAAAGAACCACCATAACGAAAAGAACCATGTCGCTTGTCTTACTTAGGCAGAATCTCAGTGTAGAGGTAATGTTTTGGTAGTGAGCCCAACAGGCATAACAACGACTATGATACCCGTAGAATTACCGACTGATCCTTTTTAGTCGCCTGCTCGATACTTTTTACTGCTAGAAAGAGTGCGAGATTACAGTTCCACTTTCAATTGTTATTATTTTACCCTCATTGCTAACAATAGTGTAATATTCGTAATATTCATTACTCGTAACTGTTAGATTTAATGTTAATTTTGATTAAGTCCCTAGTGATTATAAGTTATAAAATAGGTACTAAATTATATCCAGCGATTGCTCGCGAGTCGACTTAATATTATTTGGTTCCGACAGAATATCGGCGCTGCGGTAACTCTTACTGCATAATATATTATCTAATATCTAAAAAAACCTTTTAAAGATAAAATAGTTATTTTTCTACTTAAAATCTATTTTCAATAAATTAAGATATTAAATAAGTATATCATTTAATGTAGTTTCTAATTACACAAAGTAGATAAGTATTATTAAATGAATATATTAAAAAGATGTAAAATGTTATGACATACAATGTATTAATTGATAAATAATACAAATTATTCTAAATTCAAGGTAGTATTCACAGATATTCACGGTTGACATTGCATTACAGTACGTATGGTTGAGCGCTGCGTGCCTCTATCGTGAAGACGGTTGAGCGCATGAAAAAATATTTCTAATAAAATTAGTCGCAAATTTTATGCTCTACAATTTTTATTTATTATGCTGAGTCGCATTATGCTGAGTCGGCCTTATCGTTGCTGCAATCCTTTTTTTTTAATATTAAGATAAATATTTTTTTTGTTTGTAAAATTGATGTTTTGCAAGTTGCAACAATAAATAAATATGTTCTTTCTTTCTTACTCTGACTAACTAATATTTATTCATATACTAGCAATTCGCCGGCTTGGAATTAATATGTCATGAACACAGCGTCAGAGAAAGCTCAATCAGATCACTGTAGTGACTAGGTACTCTTTGTGCATTAATGTGACATACATTAAACAAGGATTTGGAAAGGAAAACAGGATTGGTAAAACGTATGTCGTGCGTATGGGTGTGCGTGCGTGAGTGCGTGCGTGCGTGTGCGTATGTACAAATCGCACCACGTAAGTCTAGCGCTGAACGAAATGTGGAGGGACGCGCACGAATCGAATTGCACGAATGCGACTGGAGAGCCAATCAGCGCGTGCGAACGATACGCACGAGCCAATCAGCGCGACTTATGCGCAATAACGGTCACCGCTAGACTTTCGTGCCACTACTTATACGTACGCAATTCTCCTAAACGGCTTGACCGATTTTAATGATTTTTATGGAGTACTTATGGGGTTACCTGGATGGTTCTCAGCTATAGTTGGACCCGGTAGGTGGCGCTGTTGTCGAGATCCAGAAATTAAATGTGCGAATCCGGAGCGGATCGCTAGAAATATGATGTAATTAAAATTATATTACGCTGAATTACGTACGAACAGTATTTGTCACTAAATTGTAGCAACGAAAAGGCATCCGGCTCGGCATAATGCCATAGCAGTGCTGTGCTAGTATTTTGATGTAGTTTACTAAATTTTGATGACTCGTTAATGTAAACTTTTGTTATCAAGGGGTCAAATCCAGCCGTCCGGTCAGCTGTCTAACTGTGTAGAAGTGGAGCTGATCCACAGCGGACACAAGTACAAAGTGCAGGCGTGCAAGTCGGGACCCACATCCTACTTCCTTGCCATGAACGGCAGCTTCAAGGAGCTGGAGGTGCACAAACTCACTGATGGCGGTTAGTATCTCTTTCCATAACTAACGAGCTAACCGTTCACCTGATGGTAAGTAGGTATTGCACATTAATCTAATGAACTTATGTAAAAAACAAGGAAAGTTACAAATATACGTGTTTTAACCCGTAACGACTAAGAATGCCTAAAAACTTCTTCTCTGGTTCGGCAGAAATAGAAAGGATATCTGGTACCTTACGGGCCAGGGAAAGAATTGATTAAAAAAAGGTTGTGTTATAAAATAACTAGCTGTGACCGCGGCTTCGTACGTGTGTAATTAGTATTTTACTATGATATGTGATGATGATTTATTTGTACTTTGAATTTACCCACAAAGACCTAAAAATACACTTATAAGGATAAAAACATTCAGTTAATCAGTCAATCAGACAAACTAACGAACTACTACTAACGAACTAACGAACGGTTCCACAAACAAACCGAGCAACGAATTGTGGCAAACTATACGCTAGTGTGTCATATTGTAAATTACAAGTTAATCGCAATAAGGAAATCCACTATTTATTTCCGAATTTATCTAGCCAACAATTGGTTCCCCCGACAACACATAAGAGATTGCCCTAAATAAGCAAGCTCCATCATAAATTATTTGTACTGCACTATGCTGACCCTTAGTGCCATTAATATAAAAAAAAATATATTTTGAAATGACAGCTAAAACCTAATATAGAGCAACACGGGCCACCGCCCACTCTCTTGAGTAGGGAACGGTGCGGCCACGTCGGATTTTTTATACCCGTGATAACTTCAAAATTAAATGTCTGATTTGAATGAATTAAAAAGTATTTTACTGCTACATAATGACTCTAGATGATAAAACTATTTATTTGAATAAGAATTAATGCTACGATACGAATGTAACTCACTTTTGTATCGACCGGCGATATAATAAAATTTTTGAACACAAAAGCTACTATTGTGACTTACTATGATAGTTAGATATATTTCTTTTATAGACTTTTTTGTAGGTAAAAATGAGTATAAAATTTGATCAACAGGCACTCTCCTCTCGGTGGATGGCGCATCGTACACCACGTACCTGAAGGACGAAGTAGACAAGTACCGTATCGTGATAGGCAACCAAACTGTAGTCTTTGATAAGGAAAAGGATCCATCGAAGTTGCGAGCGCCATCTGCCGGAAAGTTGATCAACACGTTGGTGGAAGATGGCGGTCACGTGGATAAGGGACAGCCGTACGCTGAGATTGAGGTCAGTGAATCTTTAGTAACCGTGGTAGAGACACGCCGCAGCGTATGCGTATGCGTCACAAACGGGTCGTCTCGATCGGGAAAAGATCACGCTCTCATAGAATACCAGCGTGAAATAGCAACCTAATGGTGCTTAGTTTCGTATGGTGAGTGTAGATAATCGGGGACCCTTTTTTACAGGTAACAAAACATTCCAATTTAGTTATCAGTGGTGAAAACGCTTCTGCATTTTGATTCTTAATCGATGAAATATTATCTAGATGTCTATGGGCCAGAAAACCCACTTGCTATCAGGTATACTATGTGTGCGTGTTTTGTCATCCTTATTCTATACTAGCTGTTTCCCGCGACTTCGCCTACGTGTAATTTAGGGGTATTTTTTTGGGCGGAACCCTAATTATTTTTCTAAAATAAAAGTAGGCTAGGTTACTCTTTATAACATCAGCTATCTGTCAGTGAAAGTCGAAACCAGTCAAAATCGATCCAGCCATTTCGGAGATTGGTCGGACCAAATAGACAGACAGACAGACACAAAAATTTTAAAAAATTGAGTTTTTGTTATAAGTACCGTATACACTTTCATATACATTTAGTAAAAAGCTGTTATTTTGACATTACAAACAGACACTTCAAATTTATTAATTGGTATAGATAGTAATGTAGTAGATCGAGAAGACATAATGTTTAGAGCTACAAAAATGCAAGCAGTAGTAGATTAAATCAAGAACATAATTATTCCAGTGCCATAGACGTTCTTATTTAATGGCTTTCGATAGAAGGCGGCATAACCTTCACGTTTACAGCGAGGAGCAGAGCCTACCAAGCGAAACGATTAAGACTAATCCTCCATACAACGGTTGAGTTCTTAACAAGTTCTTTTACTAAAACATTCATTACAGTCTATCAAAGTTAACTGCTGGACATAGGTTGCTCCCTCATAGAGATTGCTACAGAAGGAGGATATTTGCCATAGTTACCACGCTTAGTGTGCGGGTTGATAATTATAGTTTTGATTATGATATTATTATCGGGTTGTTATCAGGATAACTTAAATTAAAAATTAAAAAAAAACCCCTGAAACAAAAAAGAGCTGAACTGATGAACAAATTTTTGAAATATAGCTAAGAACACTCTCGATTAAGACACCTTTCAAATGTAAAAAAAACTTAATCAAAATTAGTTCAGCCGTTCAGGAGCTATGATGCTAGAGAGAGACACACAGATACACAGATAAACAGACACATAATACGCATATACACAGATACGCAGATACACAGATACGCAGATATATAGATACACAGATATGATATACAGGTATACTTATACACAGATACACACTACAAACATATAACACCCCTCAGTTTTCGTCGGGGGTTTAAAATGATGTTGCCCCTATTCTGTTTCGTTTCCTTCACCCACAGGATGATATGGGGTAGTGGATTCTTTTACGAGGCCTATATAAAATCGTTGGTGTCGTCGTAAAAGACATCAACGAGAAATGAAACAGGAGATGAGCAGCAGCATACGACTCCAAATAATCAAAAAACTGCGCTTGTCTATCAGACTGCCAAGCGTGGCAACTTATATACTAAAATATTTCCCCAATGAGACAATCTATGGAGATGCCTATTATCAGCTGTGGATTTTTGATAGACTGTAATAGATAGATGGACCATAATATTTACTAAACTAAATGCTGATGTTAAATAAAACTACTTTTACGGATTTTATCGCGTTTAATTAACTTATTTTATATTCCCGACGTTTCGGTTGCTTTCCAGCAAACAAGGTCACGGGGGACTGGGGTGATTGACGATTGATGATCACAAACTGCAGACTTACTTTACTTTGCTCATATCCTAAATGGCCCCCGCCATTACATTAGATTTGATAAACCACAAATTCTCGCGAAAGAACATCGATTCCTGCCAAGGATGATACGTGAGGCTATTGAAATTAAAAAACATTCTAATTTCAATAGAGTGAGAGGCTGGGTACCTTATTTCATAAAATTAAGACTATACCCAAGCATACCACTGCAAGACTTCAAGACAGTAAATTCATTCTGCGTAGATCGGACCAAAATTAATAATTAAAAAAGCTGAAGGTACTCCGGGTTAACTCTGATATCGGGACGTCAATCACCTCAGTCCCCCGTGACCATGGTTGCTGGAAAGCAACCGAGACGTCGGGAATATAAAATAAGTTAATTAAACGCGATAAAATCCGTAAATGTAGTTTTATTCAATGTGTAGTGTTCGCGTAAATATAAGAAATCATTAAATGCTGATATTTATATTTAGTTTGTAATAGCAAGATATAATAATGCATAAATTGATTGCGCAGGTGATGAAAATGGTGATGACGCTGCTGGCGCCGGAGGCTGGCAAGGTGACGTGGAATCTGCGGCCCGGCGCCGTGTTGGACATGGGCGCGCTCATCGGCACCCTGGGTACACCTCTATACTTCTATACCTCTACATCTCTAAATTTCTACTCCCATACATCTATCGCGTTTACGCCTCTACATCTCTATACTCTACACCTCTAAACTTCTACTCCTCTACTCCTCTACATCTCTACACTCTACACATCTAAGCTCTAAGCTTCTATTCCTCTACACCTATCGCGTCTACGCTTCTACATCTCTACACCTCTAAACTTATACTGCTCTACTCCTATCGCGCCTACACCTCTACACTCCACACCTTTACGCTCTACACCTCTTGACGTCTACTTCTCTATACCTATCGCGTCTACACATCTACACCTCTAAACTTCCATTTCTCTACACCTCTACACCTATACTCCTCTACTCATCTACACCTATCGCGTTTACTCCTTTACACCTGTCGCGTCTACACTTCTACACCTATCGCGTCTACACCTCTACACCCCTACACCTCTAAACTTCTACTCCTTTACACCTATCTCGTCTACACCTCTACACCTCTACACTCTACACCTCTACATCTATCGCGTCTACACCTCTACACCTCTACACCTCTACACTCTACGCCTCTACACCTCTAAACTTCCACTCCTCTACACCTATACTCCTCTACTCATCTACACCTATCGCGTCTACACCTCTACACCTCTACACTCTACACGTCTACACCTCTACACCTCTACACTCTACACTACACCTCTACACCTCTACACCTCTACACCTCTAAACTTCTACTGCTTTACACCTATCCCGTCTACACCTCTACACCTCTACACTCTACACCTCTAAACTTCTACTGCTTTACACCTATCCCGTCTACACCTCTACACCTCTACACTCTACACCTCTAAACTTCTACTGCTTTACACCTATCCCGTCTACACCTCTACACCTCTACACTCTACACCTCTAAACTTCTACTGCTTTACACCTATCCCGTCTACACCTCTACACCTCTACACTCTACACCTCTAAACTTCTACTGCTTTACACCTATCCCGTCTACACCTCTACACCTCTACACTCTACACCTCTAAACTTCTACTGCTTTACACCTATCCCGTCTACACCTCTACACCTCTACACTCTACACCTCTAAACTTCTACTCCTTTACACCTATCCCGTCTACACCTCTACACCTCTACACTCTACACCTCTAAACTTCTACTGCTTTACACCTATCCCGTCTACACCTCTACACCTCTAAACTTCTACTGCTTTACACCTATCCCGTCTACACCTCTACACCTCTACACTCTACACCTCTAAACTTCTACTCCTTTACACCTATGCCGTCTACACCTCTACACCTTTACACTTTAAACCTATCGCGTCTACACCTCTACACTCTACACCTCTAAACTTCTACTCCTTTATACCTATAGCGTATATACCTCTACACCTATATATTTTACTTCTCTACACCTATCGCGTATACACCTCTACACCCGTAAACTTCTACTTCTCTACAACTATCCCGTCTACACCTCTACACTCTACACATCTACACCTATATACTTCTAAACTTCTACTCCTTTACACCTATCTCGTCTATATCTCTACATTCTACACCTCTACACCTCTACACCTCTAAACTTCTACTCCTTTACACCTATCCCGTCTACATCTCTACACTCTACACCTCTACACCTCTACACCTCTACACCTCTAAACTTCTACTCCTTTACACCTATCCCGTCTACATCTCTACACTCTACATCTCTACACCTCTAAACTTCTACTCCTTTACACCTATCCCGTCTACATCTCTACACTCTACATCTCTACACCTCTAAACTTCTACTCCTTTACACCTATTGCGTAAATACCTCTACACCTATATACTTCTACTCCTTTACACCTATCGCATATACACCTCTACACCTCTAAACTTCTACTCCTCTACACCTATCAAGTCTACACCTCTACATCTCTACACCTATTACCTCTATACTTCTACTTCTCTACACCTATCACGTTTACACCTCTTCTAGTATATAGAGGCTTGTATATACTTTTTACTGGAAAAGAGGCATTCCATCTTAGTCCTCACGGGTGACAACGCATTTGCATTTTGATTCTTTATTGAGGATAGATCTGGATGTCTATGGGTCACAGTAACCACTTACCATTAGGTGGACTGTGTGCTCGTTTGTCACTCTATCCTATAAAAAAAGTTATTCATTAATTCCTGTGACCAAAAAATTATTTATTTTTCAAAAAATTTTAACTTCCTAACGAATCTTTTCAGAGTTGGACGACCCGTCTCTGGTGACAACCGCGCAACCCTATAAAGGCCAGTTCCCGCTGGAAGACAACCCTCAACTTTCCGAAAAGCTCAATCACGCCCATAACAAGTACAGAGCCATCCTGGAAAACACATTATCTGGTAAGTGCAATTATGTGATTAAAAATTACTTTTATATGATAGATAACGCCATGTTTTTGTAAATTTGAAGTGGCAGATCTCTTATTGCAGCAAAACCAAAAAACTGAACAATTCAATATTTTTGTAGGACGTTGATTTAGCCGCGCAACTAGATTTAGTCTAGTGAGCAGTCGCACTGTTTTATCGTACGCATGGTGATATTGTCCCTTTTTTATTGTTATAATCAGTCCAAGCTGCAGTTGTCTCCCTCGATTGCTTAGTTCATTAGTTTCATTTGTTCAAACACAGCCCGACACCAGTAGATCATAACAATATAATAGAACACTCTAGAAGACTGGAAACAGATAAGAAAACAAAATATCTGGACCTGGCTCACGAGGTGACTGACATGTGGGGTGGTCTACCGACCGAAATTATTCCTGTGATCGTATCTGCGAATGGGCTAATTCTGGTCAGCCTCTCGTGTCATCTGAGGCGACTGGGACTCCATGCTTAAATGCGGAAGGCGGTGCTACTCGATACCGCCCGCATCGTCCGCCGATTTCCTTCCCTTTCCCCCTAACTCTCGGTCGTTTGTTCTCCCCTGCCGAAGGTTTCCGTCTGGTTCGGCTTTTATTTATTTATGTATTATTTATGTTAGTTTATTTGATATATATATATATATATATATATATATATATTTATGTACATTTATTTACTATGTCCTTTTATATATTTATTCAGACCAACCAGATGAGAATACTTTATAAATACCTCAATAATAGAAGGCTCTTATCATTAAGTTGAATGTTAACTCGTTTACCGCTCTAATATTATGAAAAATACCAATAGTTATACATATCTACAGAGGGTTATTTCATTTTACAATATCAGAGGGTTAGTTTGGTGACTGGTTTTTTGTTGAATTTACTTTTAGCGAATCTTGGATTTGGTTTTATATTATAAGGGTGACAAACGAGCACACAGTCGACCTGATGGTATAGACTGTGGCCCATAGACTTTTACATCTATCCTCAATAACGAATAAAAACCTGCGTCAAGGTTTTTTGACCCCTGAGAACTAGGATAGAATGCCTCGTATCCAGTTTAAAGGGAATCATGACCATTATTGTTCCACTATCTCCTCCCTATTTTTGTTGGAATGATACATTACAAAAACTCTTACTAATAATATTATATGTGTGAAAATTTGTGAAGTTGTTTGAATTTCTGTTACTTAATCACGCATAAACGGATTTGGACGAAATTTTGCATACAGATAAACCATGTTCTGGCTTATCACATACATTGGAACATGAAGGATTTTTATATCTACACGGGCGGAATCGCGGACGTTGCCTAATATGCCTTTAATAAATAATAAATATTATATTTTCGTAGGTTATTGTTTACCGGAGCCTTACAATACACCACGTCTGCGAGAGGTCGTTGAGAAGTTCATGCAGAGCTTGCGAGATCCCTCACTGCCACTGTTGGAGTTGCAAGAGGTAAAATACCTAGATAAAATACCTAGTAGCAGTTATAAGATTTGTTTTATATAATTAGGAGGTTCGAAAACTATTCTTTATCCTTTTTTGAAATGTTTAAAAGATATGAAAGATACCTTTCATTTCATTACAGCTTATAAAAGTCCACTGCTGAACGTAGGCTTCTCACTAAAGTGAATCATACGAGCAATTTTGATACAGTCGTCACGGTTGGTAGGTTGGTAACCCACCGCAGTTTTTTTTTTTATAATTTAGAGTTGTTATCAGAAAGATGCTGCTGACCATCTTCTGTTTAGGCCTCTTCTGTCGCCTCTTACGACATCCATGGGACGTTATGGTTTAGTGGATATTCTTACACCGCCACTATACGGTTATATAAAAGATGCACGTAAATATATTAATAAGCAACCTAATTAATATTTTTAACATATTAATATTTATTACGCGAATTTAAGCTAAATATTTTTCGTACGTGTTAGAGCCATGCTGCAGCTATATTAGTAGTATAGTTGTAGCACGAATGGGTCGGCTCGAGCGGGCAAGGACCACGCTCTCACAGAATACCAGCGTAAAGTAGCAGCTTAACACTGCTGTGTTTCGTATGGTGAGTGTAGAGAACCGGAGACTCTTTTTACTGGAAAAGAGGCATTCCATCTTAGTCCTCACGGGTGACAACGCATCTACATTTTGATTCGCAAACAAGAATAGATGTAGATGTCTATGGGCCACAGCAACCACTTACCATCAGATAGACTGTGTGCTCGTTTGTCACCCTATCCTATAAAAAAAAATTCTCTGGTTTCTTATAGATACGTACAAAGATAGTAAATTATTTTTATAAAGATAGTATTATTTTAATTAATTAAATTGGTGGAAGCACTCGAGGAATTCAAAGTATAAATTAGAGAATGAGTGAGGGCAACAAGTAGTGGTGTGTGGTGTGTGCAGGTGCTGTCGTCGGCGGCGGGGCGCATCCCGGTGGGCGTGGAGAAGAAGGTGCGCAAGCTGATGGCGCTGTACGAGCGCAACATCACCAGCGTGCTGGCGCAGTTCCCCAGCCAGCAGATCGCCAGCGTCATCGACCAGTAACTCACCGCTCCACTATTTCTAACCTCACCCTTGCCTTACAAATAACGATCAGACAATATACGAGTATAACTAGCGATCCACCCCGGCTTCGCACGGGTGGTCTCTGGACAACAGCGCCGCCTGCTGAGTCCAATTGTTAATCTTACCCGTTCTCGAATCTAACTTAATCACATACACAAAATTTTATCAAAATTCAGTCCAGCCGTTTAAGAGTTCAGACACTGATAGAAGAATTATATATACCGGGTGTTAGTGAAACGCTCTCGAAAACAAAGATAGACGATAGTATTAAGGATACCTTTGATGATGGGTCACAAAGTAATTCTAGCCCGAGAAAAAAAAATCATCTTTTTACAACGTTTTATTAACTTTATTCACGCTCTATCATGTTAGTACAGCTAAATGAAACGATAATTACATTAAAAAAAAAAACATGAAAATACTTAAACGTATAACCAGCAGTGGAATTACAATCAGCTGACTAGGGGTAAGTGTTCGCGCGGACGCCAAACTCTTATCTATTATCTTATCTAGCTCGGTGCGAAACAATGTCTACTCACGCTACCTTTCCCTTTCACACACGCGCTACCGCCGCCCGACCGGCTCGTGTCGCCTCGCGCTGTAGAATTTCCACATGTCAACTTTGCCAACATGTTGAGAATTCCCAGAATTGCGGGGAATTTAAAGTTGGTTGGGAATTTTATGGGGATTGGTATTATGCGTAGAAAATAAGAGGATTTTGAAAATCGATAGCCAGGGCCAAGTCAGATCCTTTTTGGAAGAAATCTAAATACTTAACATTTTGTTAGGTTACTTATGAATATCGAATAACTCCCTTTTTTAATTATCTTCATTGCACCACATTTAATTTTCAGATTTATTTCGGCAACTTTTGTGTATCATTTAATGCTTTTCATTTCTTTATTTTTTAATTTTAAAGAACAAAATGTTAGTTAAAAAGTAAATCTTATAAAATTAGTTGAAAATTGATTCATTTCTTAAAATAAAATTGAGGGGAATTTTTTGTCCTTAAATTGAGGCATTTGTTATGAATTATCGGGGAATTTGACAAATTGGTGTTGGCAACGCTGCCATGTTGAACCGAAATTTAGTTTGCCGGCGAGATAAGAATTAGAGGCGGCAATCACTATAAAACTTGCAAGTAATTTTTAATAATTTTGACGTACCTCTTTTTAAATTCATTGTATTGGTCGGATTAAATACGGAAAGTCAATTAAAATAAAGTTAAAATATTATTTTTTACATTAATTCTGATAGATTAATTAACTGTCGATCATAATTGCAATTGATTTTAACTATTAAATTATTCAGTATCATTCCTTTCATTTCTATTTTCTTATACAAAATTAAAGCTAACAATGAAATAGTGTTTATAATTGTGTAAGTGAGTACTGAGTACCCAATTAAGTAAGTTTATTAATTTCAATATTTTTGTAGTAAAGATTGTGTAATTTGTGTATTAAAAATTACAACCATAACTTTTAAATTCCATATGAAGACTAGTCGTAGGGATAACTAAACTTATAAATAAAATAAACGTTGGCAATGTCGTAACGGTTTAACGGTCTTTGGAAATGCTCAGTGCTTCAAGGACGTTACGAATGCCTTGTGCGCACTTGTTTTCGCGGGATTGATTATTAATTTTAGTTTTTGAAACAGTTCCGTGTTGACGTGCGCGTGAACGACAGTTCAATCGTTTTGTTTATTACATTCTTGCTGTTATTACTTGTTGTTACGTTTTGTTTTTCTTGTTTTGTTTTAATAATACCTAACGCGTAGGTACGTTTATAGTGCTCGTGAATACGGCAACGTCTTAATGTGCCCTGGAGAATCTCATAATGCCACAGAGGACTTAGATCAGTAAGCTTTTTCATACCTATTATTTTTTAAATAACTTAGTACTGAACTCATCTGAATAGGTACATAACTGAATACATCAGAATAATAAACATACCTACACGATGGATAAAAAAGCATGACTCTAACCTTGTTAACATTTCATTTAAGTATTTTTTTTACTAGCGGGGAATCGACCCAGGTATTTGGTTTATTTAACCTGGCAAAATAGTAGGTTGAGTAGATAAGTTAGGTATTTAGACAAGTGTTGTAAATTATTAGGTATTGTTCGGCGTCCGCGCGTACATTGACGCCTAGTCAGCTGATTGTAATTTCACTGCTGGTTTTATGTTTAAGTATTTTAATAATTTTTTAAATGAAATTATCGTTTCATTTAGCTGTACTAACATGATGGAGCGTGAATAAAGTTAATAAAACGTGAAAAGATGATTTTTTTTCTCGGGATCGAATTTCTTTGTGACCGCTCATCAAGGTATCCGTAGTACTATCGTCTGTCTTCGTTTTCGGGAGCGTTTCACTAACAGCCTGTATTATGAAAAATAAACCCTGGAAATGATGTTACATATACCAAGTTGATTTTTATGTAAAAAATATTATAACATACGAAGACTTTTATGTATACTTGTAGTCAGACACCACGGTACTATTTTTTTAAGCGCTAAGTTACGGTCGGTTCTACGTAACTTCTTCACTCGACTGGCAAGCAGGGGACAAGACTAGTTCTTTGTTTTGTAAACTGCGAAAGGTGTAATGTGAGTTAGCATTGAATTTAAATTCATGAGCATCCTGAATCTGAACTATCATAAAAAATGAGCCCTTATATACATACTTAAAGAGTAAGGTATAAAAATATAACACAATATTCCATTTTCCAGTCACGCGGGCTCGTTGGCGAAGCGCGCTGATAGAGACGTGTTCTTCATGAGCACGCAGGCATTGGTTGTATTGGTGCAACGTTACAGGTAAATGTACTGGCTTTCAAAATCACGCTCACTTCGTGATTAAAAGCTATTTACATGAATTTTCGTTAATGGCAATATTAAGTGAACTATTTGACTAAATGTGATATAGTTTGAAGCACCTATGTTTGTAGTATCATAGAATAAATTATAGGATATTTAAAATTTCACCTCTTTACCCGTAATTTTACTATTTATTTTAATAGAAGTACCAGCTACAAGGTACATTTAAAGCAAAAAGAAAAAAAGCATTGGAAACAAAAACACAAATAAAAACTTATTTTCACTATGGTAGGAATGGCATACGAGGAAGAATGAAGACTGCAGTCCATGATCTCCTCAAGCAATACTACCAGGTTGAGAGCAATTTCCAACTAGGTGAGTATTTATTATCAAGTCTGAGCCTTTTTTGACATTGTTAACGTATTTGAAAGAACTAATGATTTAGAATTATGTACTCGTAATTTACTAAATTTACTTGTTTTTGTTATATAAGTCACATTCAGCACATTTCTCCATAAAGTTAGTAACATTATAGCAAGTTTGAGAGAGATTAGGGTAAGGAAAATTAACCGTGCTGCTTCATTGCGTGTTGGTGGACTTCACATGTCTGTGAAACATTGTTTAGTGCCTGCAGGGATCTAATTTGGGTTGTTCGTCTATTGTGAAATTTATAGCGAGCACTTCGTCCCTGAGTTTCTCCATATCCGTGTATTTTGCTGCACTCCACTACCCTAAATTATGGGCCGCAAAATGTTCACTTATTGCAAAGGTCTAGAAACTAATCGTTGCCATTCCTTAGGTGCGTATGATAAATGCGTGATGGCGTTGCGCGAACGCTACAAGGATGACATGCAAGCTGTCGCGAACATTTTATTCTCTCACAATCAAGTGGCTAAGAAGAATTTGCTGGTGCGTATGTTTTTACAATCTTGTACAAAGCTTGTATAATCCCGGATTATACAATAGTCTTGACTGCTATTTACCTAAAATCCTTATAATAAATACGGCACTAAGCGTCAGATAATAGTTTTCAACTTTTATAATAAACTTGTGTTATTTTTTTGTTCATTTCTATTAGATTGAATCTTGCATATTTACATTTAATTCAACACCAAAATCAAGTTTTTTTTTTAAATATAAGTCTCTGTAATTTAATAAAAGTAAATTTGAAAATTACAAAGTTGTTAAAACTATTAATTCTACTACTGTCATTACAGTTAGTTTTATATGATTCTACGAGGGGCACACTGAAATGATCGGGAATAGAATATTTCGGATTGAGTTACAATAAAACCTTTTTTAGAATTTGAATACTGGTCTCTTAGAACCTTAATGACATTCAAACAATAAAAAAAATGTTTAAAAACAAAAACTATGTTGGTTTAAAGTTGACACGTCGTTAACAGAAATGGAGCTCACGCGTGACCATTTCCGTGCCATAATTTATCACAATTTTCGTCGTGGCTTATCTGAAGATAAATGTCTCAGCGAACTTGTTTCGATTTATGATGTTGAAGCACCGAGTCAAACGACAATATACCGCTGGTATGCCGAGTTCCGACGCCGTCGTGTGTCGCTCAGCACTGTTTCTTCTGCAGGTCGACCAAGAACAGCGGTCACGCCTGAAAATATCGCAGCTGTGCGAACTATTTATTATATTAGATGACCGTCATGTGACATACGAGCAGATTCGGGCTGTTATCAGTATCGGAATGACTGCAATTCAGTCGATATTACATAATGAGCTACACACAGAAAGTTAGTTTCCCGCTGGGTTCCCCACAATTTGTCCGAAGAGCAAAAGGCGGCTCGTGTAGATTGGTGCCGGAATATTCTGCAACGCTTCAACGGAGGGAATTGCAAATGCCGTTTATAATATCGTCTCAGGTGACGAATCATGGATTTATTCATACGAACCTGAAAGAAAACATCAGTCAGCAGTTTGGGTCTTTGAAGACGAGGTCAAATCAACGAAAGTGGTTCGCACCCGCAGCGTGTCAAAGAAAATGGTCGCTACGTTTGTCTCGAAAAAGGGTCATGTTGCTACAATTCCTTTACAGGAACGCAGAACGGTTACCGCTGAGTAGTATATCACGGTTTGTTTGCCAGAAATGATAGCCGAACTCCAAAATAACCCGAAACGTCGCATAATCTTACATCACGATAATGCGAGCTCCCATACGGCTCGAAAGACAAATGATTTTTTGAAGCAGGAAAACCTTGAGCTGATGAGCCATCCTCCGTACAGTCCAGACCTGAGCCCAATCGATTTCTTTACATTCCCTAGAATGAAAGATTTATCACGCGGTCAACGGTTTGAAGACCCCGAAGCAGCTGTGGAAGCGTACAAATCAGCCATTTCGTCAACATCAACTTCAGATTGGAATTACTGTTTTAATGATTGGTTTGCACGAATGGAAAAGTGCAGTAAGTTGAACGGAGAATACTTCGAAAAACAATAAAATACAATTTAGTTATACTGTGCATGTACGTGGTCAATCGACGGATTCAACTCGGCTGGGCAGCGTTCGGGAAACTACGACACATCTTCTCGTTAGACATACCTTAAAATCTGAAAACGAAATTGTACAACCAGTGCGTGTTGCCAGTGATGACTTACGGATCTGAGATGTGGTCCTTCACTGCTGGCCGTATGAGGAAGCTCAAGGTCACTCAGCGAGCTATGGAGAGGGCTATGCTCGGGGTGTCTCTGCATGATAAACATAGAAATGAGAATATCCGCAGTAGAACCAGAGTAACCGACATAGCCCAACGGATTAGTAAGCTGAAGTGGCAGTGGGCCGGTCATATAGCTTGAAGAACCGACAACCGATGGGGACGAAAGGTTCTCGAGTGGCAGCCTTGTACCGGTAGGCGAAGTGTAGGGCGACCCCCCCATTAGACGGAATGACGATCTGGTGAGACATGCAGGAAGTCGATGGATGCAGGTGGTTCAGGATCGTGCTTTATGGCACTCCTTGGGGGAGGCCTATGTTCAGCAGTGGACTTGCGAAGGGCTGTAATGATGATGATGATGATACCGTGCATGTGGTTTTTCTTATACCTGATCATTTCAGTGTGCGCCTCATACTAGATTTTTTTTTTATAAGTTACATGAAACAAAATATAAACGTTTAATTGAAAAGTAAAAACAAATTCTCATGTGACCTGTTGTGAACAGGCTAGTGTTCATTAACAAATACACTGAATAAAATGTATTCTGTGGTATGAAGGTGACGTTGCTCATCGACCACTTGTGGTCCAACGAGCCGGGCTTGACGGACGAGCTGGCGGCCGCGCTCAACGAGCTGACGTCGCTGCACCGCGCCGAGCACAGCCGCGTGGCGCTGCGGGCGCGCCAGGTGAGCCCCTGCACACGCGCTCGTACGCCGTTCTCATTGTGCCACATACACACTCATTGTCCTTCAAACTTAACGGACGAGCTGGCGGCCGCGCTCAACGAGCTGACGTCGCTGCACCGCGCCGAGCACAGCCGCGTGGCGCTGCGGGCGCGCCAGGTGAGCCCCTGCACACGCGCTCGTACGCCGTTCTCATTGTGCCACATACACACTCATTGTCCTTCAAACTTAACGGACGAGCTGGCGGCCGCGCTCAACGAGCTGACGTCGCTGCACCGCGCCGAGCACAGCCGCGTGGCGCTGCGGGCGCGCCAGGTGAGCCCCTGCACACGCGCTCGTACGCCGTTCTCATTGTGCCACATACACACTCATTGTCCTTCAAACATGTTGCATGCTTGCAAATACAACACACATTATCCTACATGCACGTCTTTGCACACCACCACTAACTGTCCTACAGACACGTGTTTGTACACCAACACTCATGGTCCTACATACACATGCTTGTATACTAGCACTATCTGCCGAGTACCGGAACAAACTTGTATCTGAAGTCGAGTCTTTACTGAAGAAAGTCTTGGATTGCGGACGACAAAATCTAGTCCAGTTTAATCCTCAGAAGACCACAAGTTTACGCGTTTACCGCTAAAAAGAACCCCTTTGTCGTATCTCCTCAATTTAAAAGCACTCTAGTGACGTGCAGTTTCGTGGTGACTTGGAAGGTAAGGCCAAATTGACCTCTAAAAAGCTGCTGAACACGCCAGATCAGCAGAGCGGGACAGTATTTCATACCGGCACACCGCCTGCAACTTTACTAGGCGCAGGTTCGGCCTCACATTCCCATCTCTGGGCTGGGGCTCCCCAGTGCCAGCGTGACGCATCCAGCGCAGAGCGGCTCGAATCGTCCTTCCAACGACAGAGTCCATTCCGATCGGCTCAATTCACTGGCATGCGAAGAAATGTTACATCCCTTTGCATTTTCTTTCGCGTCTATCACGGGGAGTGCTCTGAGGAATTGTTTGGATTAATCCCAGCCGACAAATTTCACGAACGCACATCGCGGCATAATACCATCGACACGATGTGGATGCTTGACGGTCCACCACTGTACCTTTTACTAGAAATTTTTTCCGCGTACGACCTCTCTGTGGAATAGCTTACCACCGGCGATTTTAGCGGAGAGATTACGGAGACTTAGGGACCTTCAAGAAAAGAGCTCACTCCTTTCTAAAACGCTGGCAACGCACTAGCGATTCCCCTGGTGGTGCAGTTGTTCATGTGCGGCGGTAGCCACTTATCATCAGGCGAGCCATATACTCGTTTGCCCCCTCTCCTAAAAAAATTACTCATTGTTCGAAATACACGTGTTTGCACACCGGCACTAACTGCCCTACAGACACGTGTCTGCATACCAACACTTATTGTCCTACATATACGTGCTTGTATACCAACAATCACTGTCCTCCAGATACGTGTTTGCACACTAACACTCATTTTCCTTCAAACATGTGCTTGCAAATCCGACATTCATTATCCTACATACACGTGTTTGCACACCAGCACTATCTGCCCTACTGTGTCTGTGACACGTGCTTGCACACCAACACTCATTGTCCTACATATACGTGCTTGTACACCAACACTCACTGTCCTACAGACACGTGCTTGCACGCCAACACTCACTATCCTACAGACACTTGCTTGCACACCGATACTCATTGTCATACGTACACATGCTTATACACTAACACTCATTGTCCTACAAAAACGTGCTTGCACACCAACATTCATTATCCTACAAACACGTGCTTGTACACCAACCCTCATTATCTTACAGACACGTGCTTTCACTCTAACATTTAATGTCGGACAGATATTGAGTATTTGAGCATTTATTTTATTAAAGCAAAATAGTAAAACACAATAGAAATGTATTTTTCACAGTATTGCCTTATAAATTCGTTTATATTTGTTAAAATAATCAGTTCTTTTCCCATTTCATTAAACATCTCAACAAATTAAAATATTTTTTATATGGTAATAGTTGAATTTAATCATAGTTTTATAGATCTATGTTGTAATTATTGATGCAACCCTCGGCTGCAGGTACTGATAGCTGCCCACCAGCCGGCGTACGAGCTTCGTCACAACCAAATGGAGTCGATATTCCTGTCCGCTGTGGACATGTACGGCCACGACTTCCACCCAGAGAACCTGCAGAAGCTGATCCTGTCGGAGACTTCCATATTTGATATCCTGCACGACTTCTTCTATCACACCAACGCTGCGGTGAGTAGATCCATTCTCTACTTAAGAGTAAAATTTTTAATTGTGAAAATATGTTTGTCTGGATATTTGTCCTCCAATCACGCTTGAACTACTGTACGGTTTTATAGAAGTCGATTTTTTTGTGGAACAGGAAATAGCATACGTCTTATAACAAATATTACTATGTTTTAAAAAAATTTAATCATGTTTACGTGGTAGAACCACGCTGCGGCTATTTTATCTATACATAGCTGCAGCACGCATGGGAAATATATCGTAATTTGTTAACACGTTAAAAAAATTAATTGTTTTTGCAACATATAATGTTTATTTTCAAACATGTTGTAAGTTAACGTTACAATAATATGGAGCGATCAAAGCGCGAATACCTCTAGGCGATATGATTATGCTGTATTCAATTTTTATGTCCAATCAACCTTACTTAATTATTCTCTGTGACTTGATATCGTGATTACAGATCGGCCTTATGAAACATTTAATTGATTAAATTACTTTATTTTTGTGAAGCAGTGATATTTCATATATTGTATATTCTAATTATATAGGACAGTTAAATCTAACGTTACTGCTAGTAGTTTATAAAATAAAATATATAAATAATTTTTAAACGTGGTATGGCCATGCTGCAGCTATATTAGTAGTATAGTTGTAGCACGAATGGGTCGGCTCGACCAGGGAAGGACCACGCTCTCACAGAATACCAGCGTAAAATAGCAACTTAATGCTGCTGTGTTTCGTATGGTGAGTGTAGGGAACCGGAGACCCTTTTTACTGGAAAAGAGACATTCCATCTTAGTCCTCACGGGTGACAACGCGTCTGCATTTTGATTCGCAAACGAGGATAGATGTAGATGTCTATGGGCCACAGCAACCACTTACCATCAGGTGGACTGTGTGCTCGTTTGTCACCCATGACCTATAAAAAAAACCATTGTTTCTTTTTTAAATATGTTTACACCAACACTGTATATTGAAAAACTACATTTTTACGGATCTTATTGCGTTAATTCTAATTTAGTTTACATGCCCGAAATTTCCAATGGTTCTTTGCACCCATATGATCACCGGGGAACTGAGGTGCTTGTACCCTGATGTCATACTTTACCCGGGCTCCTTTCAGCTTTTTATTATTTATTTCGTTAAAGTACGATCTAGCAGAATGAGAATACTGTATCTTAAGTATCTACTGTATCTATGTATTTAATGATGTTAATTTAGGGGCCTAAGCACTTTACACTCTACACTCTTTACGCGGCAGAGCCATACTGCAGCTATATATTAATAGTATAGTTGTAGCACGAATGGGTCGGCTCCACCGGGGAAGGACCACGCTCTCACAGAATACCAGCGTAAAATAGCAGCTTAATGCTGCTGTGTTTCGTATGGTGAGTGCAGAGAACCGGAGACCCTTTTTACTGGAAAACAGGCATTCGGTCTTAGTCCTCACGGCCGACAACGCATCTGCATTTTAATTCGCAAACGAAGATGGATGTCGATGTCTATGGGCCACAGCAACCACTTACCCACCATCAGGTGGACTGTGTGCTCGTTTGTCATCCTTATTCTATAAAAAAAAGCAGATGGCATCTTGTTGTCACCCTCGTTTTTACAAAAGAGATCAAAAAGTTCGCTACAGTACGTATTGGCGAATTTTTAATTATCTTGAAATGATTATGTACACGCCCCTAGCTGCCCCAACCAAGGATGACGGGATTAGGGCCCATGAGTAATCCCATCGACGAGCAGCAGAGGGACGGGGCCAGAATATTTATTTATTTATTTTATTTATACACTTTATTGTACTAAAGGTACAAACGGCGGACTTAATGCCATATGGCATTTTCTACCAGTCAACCGGAAAGTTAGTGAGAGATGTGTGTACTGCAGTGGGCTAGGATGAAAACCTAAAATTAATTAAAAAATTAAGAATATGGCCACGTGGAATTTCCTAATTACACTAAACAATAAGGGAGAAAGCTAGAAACACGTAGTACTTACCATTATCCGAAGCTAACTTCGCACCAAGGCTTGTGCAGGCCGTGAGTGTGTGTAATAGTGGATGGCGAGTAGTGTACAGTGAGCTGTGAATGTGTGGGGCCTTAGCAAGTATAGGCGACCAGCAGCGGCCGAGTTCCAGGCTGCTCCAAAATGCTACACCGCATCAGACTGCTTCGGCGCCGGACCACTTCTTCGTTCGTCACGATGACAGTCCATTAACTCTATCGTACGATTAACTAACTTACAGAAGCCACTAACTCTCGTTTGTTATAAGGTTAACGCACAAAACGAACACGGAGTGTCCGGATCAAAGGTCACTACCGTTTCGCGTAGCAACAGTTATTTCTAGAATATCAAAGGCCGCTTTAGCTAATATTGTCGAATGCACTTATACAGATTCTGAGTCAAACCCAATGAGTCCCGGGGAAGCTCTACAGCAAGGAATGCGCGTCACAAATCCTACAGAATATTTACTATCCGCGCCTAATTATTTCGAGTTCCCGATAAAAAATGACAGCGTGCTGTCCCAAGCACCGCTGGCAGACGACTGCTTTGCACTCTTACGCGTTCTCAACACCCACTGCTCGACCGCGTCAAAACCGGTATGGCACCGAGCCGCGTGCCCTCTAACGTCGATTCCGAAACCAGCGTTTGGCGCGAACAGATTATTTCTCTCTCTTTATCATAGGGAAAGAATGAATCGAAATATTAATGTGTAATATTTCTTTATCGGTAGGTATGCAACGCGGCGTTGGAAGTGTACGTGCGCCGAGCGTACATGTCGTACGACATCACCTGTCTCCAGCATCTGGTGCTGTCGGGCGAGCTAGGCGTTGTCCACTTCCAGTTCATCCTGCCCACTGGTCACCCTAACAGGTGGGTACAGGCTAATGTTCATCATGCATCGATACATCATCATTGCTGTTTAAGGCTTTCAGACGGTTCACCTTTTTATCTATTACGGCTTTTCACAAGTCCACTGCTGAACAAGGAAATGCCACAAAACAGTTGGTCAGTCGCTTTTGAACACTTTCTTCATGTCTTACCTGGAGGTTATTCATTTTTTGCATAGAAATTGCAACACAGTAATATTCTTGTGCTAGTGGCGGTGCTGTCGTGGCGCCACTAGTGAAATAACTTTGATCTACTGTGTGCATGTCTAAGGAATAAAATATTTTGAAGGCATGTAAATTACCCAACACGCACTAGAACAAAACGGCGGACGAATTGCTCTCCCAACTCTCTGAGAAATTAAAGGAAGCCCAGCCGTGCCACGTATAATGACTGTAACTTTACTTATTTTTACTTAACTACTAGTTTATTGTGAGTGAGACCAGTCGTTTAGCCAGGAAATCTCCTTTTATTGGCTCGCCAGTTACTCCCCCGCCAGTTTACTGTGGACTACGGTCCAGTCCCGAACTACTCGTCCCTGTTCTGGGGAGCGCGTTCTTTGGGTTGGCTATCAGCGCACACTGCGTTGGCCTGTGTGGGTCAAGTGAATTTTGTTGAATTTTGATTTGAATCGTTGATTGAATGAAACCTTTGGCAGATTGATGCTCCTCTTTATTATTATGGCTTCACTAGTAGTAGTTCAGTCGAATGTCATTTACGTGTTGATGTTGTTGTTGTTGTTATGTTGAAATACGATATGTTACACCACCACCACATGCTTAATACTTTGAAGCATTTATCCAGCCATATTTCGTTTATAAACATTTTTAAATTATTGTAGGATCCCAATCAGTCAGTCGGAGATCGAGCTATCTGCGGCACAAGACCAAGAAGGCATCCCAGCAGAGCTGTGTGCCGCCGCGATGCGGAAGTGCCATCACAGGACTGGTGCCTTAGCCGCCTTCCAGTCCTTCGACCAGTTCGTAGAGTACGCCGACGAGCTGCTGGATCTGGTGCATGACTTCGCTAGCTCGGCTACTGTTAGACGAGAGGTAAGAAAGGACATTGACGAAAAAATTGTTGATGGAATTATTATGCGTCTACTTATGTCACCATTATGGATGTCCATAAAATAATTTACTGTGTTTTATCAAATTGAGCTTATGGCCTATCGAAGTCTGGAAAAAAATCATCATACATAATTTAAAACTAAATTGACTAGTTTTTATTGTTGTTTCGATTCGCGACTCGCCGATTAAGTTACCACGACGCCAACCTCACAACAAGTATAGACGTTTGCAGATTTTTCTTCAAAAACTGCGTCCGGCACCCTCTTGTGATCGTAAATGAAAGAATGTGGATACAGAATCAGTTCCAGTGGTGACCCGAAACAAGATCGATAATGACGGGTTAACACGATCGACGGTCGAGACCCGTCTGTAACCAGCGTGGGGCCGCCAGAATAACGCGAGTTGTGAAGCCAACCATACAGCTCTACATCTCCCGTTTGGACAAAAGCACGTCGGGACAATATCGAAACCGATGCCGTATAGAGGAACCGATCTCTTTACATTTGTACCGCCTAAAGTTTAATAGGTCCAATCCTATCCTACGTACTCCAGGTTCCTGCAAAATACAAAGAGACATTCCTCGCTCCCGATTTCCGGCCCTCTAGGGTAGTGTATCGCCGATACAGGGACGTGCAAAAGAAAAAAGTTCCCTAATCTTAAGTTATGTTTATGTTTTAAGTATATTTTTAGGTAAAGGTGGGTTTAATATGGGCTTAATTTTTAAGTCCTTGATGCCTGAAATAAAGTTATTGTATTGTGTTATGGTATTGTATAGGACTGTAAAATTACAGACGCCTTGATGATCTTCAGAAAAACAATGTGACAATAACTAAAACGTATAAAAACAAAGTTTTTATTTTACAATATATTTTTATGAAAAAGGTGCAATACTACTTTTCTCTCCGCATACTTATTTTAATCGAGTTGTATTCAGTGTTGGGATTATCAATGGGCTATACTTTCTCATATTGTATGAGAATGTATCTATTAAAATAATGTTTTTGTTTCAAGGACCTGCAAGCGTTACAAGATGGTAGCGAGAGTCGCGAGAGCACCAGCATCAATGTGGGGCACGACTACAAACCAATTGTTGACGCCGAAGACATGGTAAGTTCACCTGTTGTTTTTTTTTGTTAATTTCGTTACAAAGTCTTGCATTCATTTATATTCTTGCATTTTAGCTTATATTATTACGTTACGTACGTTTATTTATACGTGGTAGAGCCATGCTGCAGCTATATTATGGTTGTAGCACGAATGGGTCGACTCGACCGGGGAAGGACCACGGTCTCACAGAATACCAGCGTAAAATAGCAGCTTAATGCTGCTGTGTTTCATATGGTGAGTGTAGAGAACCGGAGATCCTTTTTACTGGAAACGAGACATTCCATCTTAGTCCTCACGGGTGACAACGCATCTGCATTTTGATTCGTAATCGAAGATAGATGTAGATGTCTATGGGCCACAGCAACCACTTACCATCAGGTGGACTGTGTGCTCGTTTGTCACCCTTATGCTATAAAAAAATAGCCTTAGTAACGCTACCGCATGGCGAAATGACCCTGACAAACCCGTAAGGATTAACACACTTTTGAGCAATCTGTACCCACTTTTTTTTATTATAACTAGAAATATAATATTAGCAGTTATGGGTACATTGTTTACACGGAAGTGGAAATTATCTGACCGGTTAAAGATGAGCGGCTCGACGCAGGCGACTAGGCCAGGATAGACAGGTGTTGTAATTATCGATATGTTATTACGTTATATATGATTTAATTAAAATTGGACTGCTTGTTATTCAAGTAAGGAATTAAAGTATTTTTTGTATTTTAGTTTTTGTCCGTTATTTCTAATTTGGGTTTAATTGATATGTCATTAATGAGAGTTGGTATTAAATGCGCATTCGTTTATTTATCCCTAATAATCTCTAACTCTTGGTGTTTCTAGTTTTGATTAAGCTATTTTCCGTGTCCTTATTTCAGGATTGACTTTTATTTGTAGTTCTTTGTCAGTAAATTGTTCAATTAATTGCCACATATTTATTTTTATATGAACAGGCAAGATTCTACTATATTTAAATAAGACTAATACATTGTCACCGAAGCAGATTGATTTTTTAATTTTTTTAGGTGTTATTATTTTTAATAACCGAGGTTGTAGGATGTATATTTTGTCTAAATATGTTTTAAACGTCCTACCGTAGCTAGAGATCCCTGTATGAAATTATTGTCTCTGCAAGTGCATTATATAGATTTAGTAATATTTTAAATGGTATTTTGTATTTCAAGATAGCAAATTTGGCTAACATAGCTCTCAGTTTGTCACAAATTGTATTAATATGATAACCCCAGTTAAGTCTGTCGTCAACTACTAGTCCTAAGTATTTGTAATGAGGAACCTGATCTAATAACTCACATTTGCAACCGGTTCTATTTGTTTGAAAATCATGCAAGCACTGGTGACTACGCGCAATTACTTCGATTTTCTTATCAAAATTGAGTAGATAGTTAGAGCGGACATGAATAGTTTTAGTTTTACTAGCATTAAGTACTACAACAACATCATGAGTCCATTGTCATAAGTAAATCTTTATCAGCTGCTACAAGACATGTATCGTCAGCGTATTGGTAAATGGAACAATGTTTTATTACGCTTTCCATGTCATTGACATACTCTAAATAATGCAAGGGTCCGAGGACGGAGCCTTGTTCTGTTCCAGTAGTTACCAATATTTTGTCACTGAAGTCATTGACGATCTTTACCCGGTATTTTCAATGGTTGAGATAATCTTGGTACCATTGTAATAATGATCCGCGGACACCGGTTTGTCAAGAATTTTTATAAGATATCGTGCCTAAGAGTATCAAATGCTTTACTAAGTTCGATGAACAGTAATATAACATGTTTTTTTTATCATTAAGGTGTTGATTTATTTCGTCCGTGAATTTAGACAGCAAAATAGTAGTTGAAATTTATTACATTGAAAACCATATTGAGGACAACACACAACAACACAAACACTCACGCCTGTCACCCAGAGGGGTAGGCGGAGACTACGGACTTCCATTTGGCACGATCCTGACACACCTCTCTCGCCTCCTTTACATCCATATATCTACGCATACACGCTCGTCGGTTAAGGGTACTCCTAATCTGGCCCATTTTCTATGTATCGCCGATTTGGTCGATAAATCTTCGTCTAGGGCGTCCCTTCCCGACTCTGCCGTTCACTTCTGAAACATACATTTGCTTTGTCACTCTTTCTTTGTTCATTCTTTCTACGTGACCAAACTACCGAAGCATTCCTTATTTAATCCTGGTCACAAACGCCGGTATGCCTCAGGGGTCCGATCTCTCTGCATATCTTTTGCTGCAAAATATCACAGTTGTGGAGAGATACCAGCCGAATACTCGGGCCAGTTCGGATTCAGTCCAGTACGAAAGAGAAGCTATATGGTTGAGCGTGCGAATCCGAGTCTGGTCGTGCATGGAGTACTGCTTTCACATATGGACTGGTGCTGAAAAATGCCACAAAGTAGCGTTGAACACAGTGGAGAGACGTGCTCATTGTTAACCTTGAGTTGCTTGAAATCAATCTTGTCAGCCTCAAGCACAGGCGCAGAGTAGCCAGCCTCTCGCTATTCTAAAGGATGCAGTTCGGAGTGTGCGCTGGAATTACATGCTTTAATGCCTCCCTCTCCTTTCCACCATCGTAGAACCAGGCGGTCGGCGGGTCTTTATACCTTTGTTGTCGATATTCCACGCATTAGAACCAAGTGGTTTGCTTCTTTTTGTAATGCGTACGGCATAGGAGTAGAATAGTTCGCCTGAGTCTGTCTTTAAGGCAAGAGTGTATAGGCTTTTGTTACGCTATGACAGTACGATTTACCTACCATCTAGGGATTCATCACCACTTATTACCAGGTGCACTGGCACTGGCTTATTATAAGTTTATCACGTGATTGGTCTATAATTTAATTTTCGTCATTTATCGGATATTCATGTGTCAAGTGTCACACTTGGCAAGGCAAGTGTCATCAAAATGTTCATTCGCAAATACTGTAACTTGGTGCTCACGACTCGCTCCCCTATCTATATGCTTAAATTTATTTAATGAATAAGGGTGGTCAACCTGATTGTAAGTGGATGCTGTGGCCCATAGACATCTACGTTTATCCTCGATGAGGACTAAGATGGAATTCCTCGTTTCCAGTAAAAAAGGGTATCCGGGGTATCCGGTTCTCGTCCTAGCATTAACCTAACCCGGTCGAGACGACCTGTCCGCGTTACAACCATTATAAAGCTGCAGCGTGGCTCTACTACGTATAAAAATCTTACTTATCACGATGGCATTACCGCAGCCTCTGGAGCCGATCCATATCCTGATGATCGGCGTGCGTGACAATGGTGACAGCGACGACAGCGCGGTGTCGCGGCGCTTCGGCAGCTTCTGCCGCGCGCACCGCCACGAGCTGCACGCCAAGCGCATCCGCCGCATCACCTTCATGTTGCTCATCAAGTGCGTACCTCTGTACTTTATCTCCTGCAGCTTCGGCAGCTTCTGCCGCGCGCACCGCCACGAGCTGCACGCCAAGCGCATCCGCCGCATCACCTTCATGTTGCTCATCAAGTGCGTACCTCTGTACTTTATCTCCTGCAGCTTCGGCAGCTTCTGCCGCGCGCACCGCCACGAGCTGCACGCCAAGCGCATCCGCCGCATCACCTTCATGTTGCTCATCAAGTGCGTACCTCTGTACTTTATCTCCTGCAGCTTCGGCAGCTTCTGCCGCGCGCACCGCCACGAGCTGCACGCCAAGCGCATCCGCCGCATCACCTTCATGTTGCTCATCAAGTGCGTACCTCTGTACTTTATCTCCTGCAGCTTCGGCAGCTTCTGCCGCGCGCACCGCCACGAGCTGCACGCCAAGCGCATCCGCCGCATCACCTTCATGTTGCTCATCAAGTGCGTACCTCTGTACTTTATCTCCTGCAGCTTCGGCAGCTTCTGCCGCGCGCACCGCCACGAGCTGCACGCCAAGCGCATCCGCCGCATCACCTTCATGTTGCTCATCAAGTGCGTACCTCTGTACTTTATCTCCTGCAGCTTCGGCAGCTTCTGCCGCGCGCACCGCCACGAGCTGCACGCCAAGCGCATCCGCCGCATCACCTTCATGTTGCTCATCAAGTGCGTACCTCTGTACTTTATCTCCTGCAGCTTCGGCAGCTTCTGCCGCGCGCACCGCCACGAGCTGCACGCCAAGCGCATCCGCCGCATCACCTTCATGTTGCTCATCAAGTGCGTACCTCTGTACTTTATCTCCTGCAGCTTCGGCAGCTTCTGCCGCGCGCACCGCCACGAGCTGCACGCCAAGCGCATCCGCCGCATCACCTTCATGTTGCTCATCAAGTGCGTACCTCTGTACTTTATCTCCTGCAGCTTCGGCAGCTTCTGCCGCGCGCACCGCCACGAGCTGCACGCCAAGCGCATCCGCCGCATCACCTTCATGTTGCTCATCAAGTGCGTACCTCTGTACTTTATCTCCTGCAGCTTCGGCAGCTTCTGCCGCGCGCACCGCCACGAGCTGCACGCCAAGCGCATCCGCCGCATCACCTTCATGTTGCTCATCAAGTGCGTACCTCTGTACTTTATCTCCTGCAGCTTCGGCAGCTTCTGCCGCGCGCACCGCCACGAGCTGCACGCCAAGCGCATCCGCCGCATCACCTTCATGTTGCTCATCAAGTGCGTACCTCTGTACTTTATCTCCTGCAGCTTCGGCAGCTTCTGCCGCGCGCACCGCCACGAGCTGCACGCCAAGCGCATCCGCCGCATCACCTTCATGTTGCTCATCAAGTGCGTACCTCTGTACTTTATCTCCTGCAGCTTCGGCAGCTTCTGCCGCGCGCACCGCCACGAGCTGCACGCCAAGCGCATCCGCCGCATCACCTTCATGTTGCTCATCAAGTGCGTACCTCTGTACTTTATCTCCTGCAGCTTCGGCAGCTTCTGCCGCGCGCACCGCCACGAGCTGCACGCCAAGCGCATCCGCCGCATCACCTTCATGTTGCTCATCAAGTGCGTACCTCTGTACTTTATCTCCTGCAGCTTCGGCAGCTTCTGCCGCGCGCACCGCCACGAGCTGCACGCCAAGCGCATCCGCCGCATCACCTTCATGTTGCTCATCAAGTGCGTACCTCTGTACTTTATCTCCTGCAGCTTCGGCAGCTTCTGCCGCGCGCACCGCCACGAGCTGCACGCCAAGCGCATCCGCCGCATCACCTTCATGTTGCTCATCAAGTGCGTACCTCTGTACTTTATCTCCTGCAGCTTCGGCAGCTTCTGCCGCGCGCACCGCCACGAGCTGCACGCCAAGCGCATCCGCCGCATCACCTTCATGTTGCTCATCAAGTGCGTACCTCTGTACTTTATCTCCTGCAGCTTCGGCAGCTTCTGCCGCGCGCACCGCCACGAGCTGCACGCCAAGCGCATCCGCCGCATCACCTTCATGTTGCTCATCAAGTGCGTACCTCTGTACTTTATCTCCTGCAGCTTCGGCAGCTTCTGCCGCGCGCACCGCCACGAGCTGCACGCCAAGCGCATCCGCCGCATCACCTTCATGTTGCTCATCAAGTGCGTACCTCTGTACTTTATCTCCTGCAGCTTCGGCAGCTTCTGCCGCGCGCACCGCCACGAGCTGCACGCCAAGCGCATCCGCCGCATCACCTTCATGTTGCTCATCAAGTGCGTGAAAATCTCAGAACCTTTTTTCCTCTTTATTTAAATAACCATCAGATAACAACACAGATAAAAATGTAACTCAAAATTGCGAGTGCTACATGCTACGTGTTCTTCCTCCTATAGGTAACCACAACTTACTTAGATATGTATATATTGCAACGGTTTATTCCGTCTTCAACTGTCGCGTTTCCCGTGGGTGGTAAGCGGCTAGAGATGGAAACTAAAACTGAAATATCTTCTGACCAGCAGTATTTTCCTGAAAACACAACCAACCCACAAGCCAAGCTTGGGAAAAGCCTATTTTCAACAGTGGAATTTGGTGATGGTGATCACAGCAAAGGAGTAGTATTATTTGCCCGTATTTGGCTTTCCGTCAGATTACAGTCTTCAAGACAAGACTCAATTTTGATTTGCGTACACTAAGACTACTGTTCCCATCTAGGGCTTCATCACCGCTTACCGGGGCTGGAAGGGAATGGAATAATTTCCCGGCGTCTGATATTCCATCCGATTACAAACTAGACGTTTCCAAAGCAAGAGCGCATAGGTTTTTATTACTCTAATACTGTGTGATTTACCATCTAAGACATTATAACCGCTTCAAATCCTTTTTTGGGATTGGGATGACATTGTAGTCAAGCACTGGCTTAAAATAAGTATCAAGCACTGACTTATAATAAGTAAAAAATATATTTCACATAATATCTTTTATGATATAATAATAAATTTTTATGGTCCTTCAAGCCGGCAATGAACAGTCAATCTATGAACTTTATAAAGAGGACAAAAGTATTTTTTTTCTTTATCAGCTCACAAAAGAGCCTATTCTGTTGTAACTCTGACTCGTAACTGTAATTTCATTACTGTAAACCCCTTACTGCATAACGCTTCCTAACGCTGGTCATCGTTAGCTGCCTAGGTATATTTATTTATACGTAATTACTAATTAGTATACTGATAAGTATTACACAATTGTAAAATTTCTCTCAACCGAATTTTGTCCTAATCACTCCCATACGTTTTATAAATGTTTTATTACTAGGCCAATGTGTTTTTGTTTTTATAATCCTCTGCGTAATTAAAAATATCAAACATTACATTACAAGAATTATGTAGTTAAACATTTAGTCACTTATAATATTGTTTAGGCGTCAGTTCCCGAAATTCTTCACGTTCCGAGCCCGTAACGACTTCACGGAGGACACAATCTACCGGCACCTGGAGCCGGCGTCTGCCTTCCAGCTGGAGTTGTACCGCATGCGAAGCTACGACCTAGAAGCGTTGCCGACCAGTAACCAAAAGATGCACCTCTATCTGGGCAAGGCTAAGGTAAGCACGACATTGTTTCTTCTCATTTCGGTATTTTATCTTACGAGGAATACGCTCTTTTCTTGAAGGTCCCTAAGTCGTATCGGTCCGGAAAAATCGCTGATGGTAATCGATTCCACAAGGAAGTCGTGCGAGGAAGAAAACATCTTCTAAATCGCACAGTGGTGGACCGCCAATCATCCAGGTGGTGTGGATGGTATCGGGAGTTCGGCCGCGATGTGCGTTCGTGAAATTTGGCGGCTGGGATTAATCCGAACAATTCCTCAGAGCACTCCCCGTGGTAGATGCGAAAGAAAATGCAAAGGGATGCAACATTTCTTCGCAGTGCCAATGAATCGAACCGATCGGAAAGGATTCGGCCGTCGACGATTCGAGCCGCTCTGCGCTGGATGCGGTCAAGTGGAAGGAGCTGGCACTGGGGAGCCCCTGCCAGCCAGAGATGGGAACAGTATTCCATGTGAGGCCGAACCCGCGCCTTGTAAAGTTGCAGGCGGTGTGCCGGCATGAAATACTGTCCCGCTCTGCTGAACACGCCAAGCTTTTTAGAGGCCAATTTGGCCTTCTCTTCCAAGTTACCACGAAACTGCACGTCACTCGATATGTCGACTCTGAGGATTCCGATACTGGCTGAGCAAGAAGGGGAGTGCCTTGAAACTGAGGAGATACGACAAAGGGGTTCTTTTTAGCGGTAAACGCCCAAACTTGTGTCTTCTGAGGATTAAACTGGACTAGATTTAGTCGCCCCCAATCCAAGACTTTGTTCAGCAAAGACTCGACTTCAGACACAAGTTTGTTCCGGTACTCGGCGACGTTTTCCCGAGAAATATTGGCACGGCCGGTGTATAGAGCATCACCAGTGGTGTCATCCGCATAGCAATGAATGTTACCAGTTAGCAACATATCATTGATATGCAGAAGAAACAGCGTTGGTGATAGCACACAGCCTTGTGGAACACCAGCGTTAATAGGCTTGTAGTCGGAGCATGCACCGTCTAAAACGACCTTGATGCTCCGATCTGCAAGAAAGCTGGTGATTCAATTGCACAATTTCTCGGGAAGCCCATAGGAAGGGAGCTTCGAAAGAAGCGCTTTGTGCCAAACCCGATCGAAGGCCTTCGCAATGTCCAAACTAACGGCCAACGCCTCCCCCCTTGGACTCTACTTTACTCTATCTTTGTTATCAAGTTATTATCGAGTATTCGTTTGTCACGCGTCAGTCTGATACTACAAGTTTTGGATTGTATTATTGGTTTAGTATTAATCGATGCATGTGGTTAGTATGTGTAATTGAACCGACTACGGCAATGAAAGGGTAAAATTATCTTTCCATTTCAAATGTTTAGTGAACGCGGGTTTTGAAAAATACCAATATTATATATTACAGCCCTTCACAAGTCCACTACTGAACATAGGCCTCCCCCAAAGAATGTAACAAACCACGGTCCTGAGCCATCTGCATCCATCGACTTCCTGCATATCTTACCTGGTCGTCACTCCATCTAGTCGGGGGACGCCCTACACTTCGTCCGCCGATACGAGGCCGCCACTCGAGAACCTTTTTTCCCCATCGGTTGTCGGTTCTTCGAGCTATATGGTCGGCCCATTGCCACTTCAGCTTACTAATTCGTTGGGTTATGTCGGTCACTCTGGTTATACTGCGGATATCCTCTTTTCTAAGTTTATCACGCAGAGAAACTCCGAGAGCCCTCTCTATAGCTCGCTTAGCGACCTTGAGCTTCCTCATCCGGCCAGCAGTGATCCTTCACCACGTCTCATTTCCATAGGTCATCACTGGCAACACGCACTGGTTGTACAGTCTCGTTTAAAGTTAATAGTTATAAATAAGTAGAGTAGTCGGTGGAGTTGCGGTGAAAGAATATCGACGACCTCATATCGTTCCGTGGGTGTCGTAACAGGCGACATTGGGTAATGAAACAGCAGATGGGCAGCAGCAACTTCCTGATAATAACTTAAAATAATTAAAACCTGCGGTTGCTAACCCACCTGCCAAGCGTGGCAACTATGGCTACATTCCCCCTATGAGGCAATGCATGGGTAGTATTAACGAAAGTTTTAGGATAAAAACTCAGCAATGAAACATAAATGAACATCCATTGTCACTTTATATATATTTTTCTATAACCAAATAATTTTAACAATTTACAGGTGAAAAAGGGACAAGAAGTGACGGACTATCGTTTCTTCATCCGTTCTATTATCCGGCACCAGGACCTTATTACGAAAGAGGCGAGTTTCGAGTATCTTCAGAACGAGGGAGAAAGGTAATTGTCTTATTGCCTTTTCTTTTTCATGTACATTTTAACGTGAATGACTTAATGAACCGCCGTGCTAAGAGAGTTGTGACGTAAGAGAATTCACTACTATTTATTTATATATATTATTCAACACTTTGTATCTTTTGTCCCTCAGGGTGCTGTTAGAAGCGATGGACGAATTAGAGGTGGCTTTCTCACACCAATTGGCCAAAAGAACAGATTGCAATCACATATTCCTCAACTTTGGGCCCACTGTAATTATGGACGCCGCTAAGGTGTGTATTATTATTGACGCTATGAGAATATAAACAGAAATCATGGACTTGAATTAAAATACTGTGTATCGTTATTTTTTAAGATTGAGGAGTCGGTGTTAAGTATGGTCATGCGCTACGGACCCCGCTTGTGGAAGCTAAGGGTTTTGCAGGCAGAAATTCGTTTCACACTAAGAATGGGTGAGTAGTAAAGATTTTTTTTTGTTGAAATGAGCAGAATGAGGTGTAGAGTCAAATATTTTTTCTTAATAGATGCTTTTCAGGGATATTTGCCATTAAAGGTACACTTCAAAGTAGGGTTTTCAATTGATTTCTTATAATCATCACCATTACAGCCCTTCAGAAGTCCACTTCTGAACTTAAGCCTTGCCAAGGAACGCTACAAGTCAAGGTCCTGAGCCACCTGCATCTCTTGCCAGGTTGTCACTCCATCTAGTGGTGATTTAGTAGTGATTTTTCATCGGTCAGTTCGTTAATTAAATTATAATTCGTTAAATAAATTCCTAAATTTAAATTTAGGCCACATAAGTTGTTGGCTCTTTTGACAACAACTAAGTCACCTCTTTGCGTATTTGAGAACAATTTCTTTTAGATTTTTTGTTTACATGTCAAGTAAATGTTATTTAATAACTTATTAAAATAGTTCAGTTTAAATGGTTTGCTTATGATATATATTTAATTTTATATGTATGTTTGTCCTGTTTCAATTGTAGCTTCAGTAGATTAACATTCGTCTTCATCTCCAGTGTCATATACTATATCATTTAATCACAGTAAAACATTGACGCAACGACACGTGAATAACGTGTCGATTTCTTAGTTGCTTTACTGTTGCGTGCTTATTTAATGGGTGAAAATATTCACATGTTCAAATAACAGAATAACAGTGTTGTGATTGTAGCGTCACTGCCACGGTTTAACTGAATCGGATCATATGATTTTGTTGCTGCTAGTGAATTTGTTTTAAACAAATGTACTCTTTCAATTTTTTCCTAGTATTTTATGTTGTGATTATAAATAAACCATTTCTTATTATGTCTCACTGCTTGGTCTTCTTCGGATGGGACATAGGGGGCTACTCAGGTACTCAAATACAATCTTAATGATATTTTTTCTATGATATATTGATATCCAAAAATAGATCAAATATTAATTTTATTTTAATTATAGTCTTTCCGTTATAGCATGGTGCGGGCGACAGCTTTCAGTTTAGTTAGTCTAGTTTAGTTAAGCTAAAGATGGAACAATATTAAATCGATTTAAAAAAGACGCAAATACACAAAGCAAAGCAAAAATTATCGATTAGCTATCCGAAAAATTAAAACCGAAACATATATTTCTTTATAAATAAATAACCAATGCGTGTAAATTTTAGTTACAGTTTAATACAAATTATGACGTCATAGTTACATATTATACTATGTATTATTGTATAAAATAATCTTGTATCTTATTTTAAATAAAACGTTTATCTTGTTGTTATATTAATCTATTAGAATGACTGCCAGCATCTGTGATATTTAGTACGGCGTACACTACACATTCATCTTTTCAACTAGCGCCTTTCGCTATAAATTAGTATTAGTATTGCCAGGTCCAGTGGCTTAAATATCGGGACGGAAGGTAAAAATAATCTAGAATTTGGTTTACAAATCTAATTTAAAAAAAAAAACGTGTTTTTGTAGCCATTTTGGACGCCATGAGTTTATACTAAAGTCTTTTTGACACAAAGCGCAATGTGCTTTACAATTGTTTTTTGGGACTGAGCTAATGAACGAATAATTTATCGTCCAAACATCGGGAAAACTGCATATTCGTCGATGTGCGTTTTTCTTTTCAGCAAGTCAGAAATTGTTAAACGATTGGTTCTCGTTGCAGACTCTGAATTTTTTGAATAACTCCTATTAATTTTATTCAGAAAAAAGTAATCTTATTAACTCAGAACGTACGTACTTCAAAAAACCCTCAAAAACTGCATCATACAATAAAAAGGCACACATTCATTCATAATCAAATTATAACCTCAAACGCCCAGATAAAATCCTTGCATCACACACGTAATGTTACTTTATTTATTGAAAACAAAAGTACCTACAACCGCTTGAAGAAAACGACCTGAAGAAGAATTAACCCACAAGACTTGCATTTTACTAAACGATACAGCATGAATAATATCTTTTTCTTGCCAACACAATACGCGTAAAGCTTAAAACTTTGATGTTGACTATTTATCCGAGTTTGGTGAGAAGATATAAAATGTCAAAGCTAATATGTTTAAATGTAGTAACAGCCACAGTAACAGCATTTTTGCTGTCATAATTATCAATTGAAGTACAGACTAAGGAGTTTAGTAAAAAATCGGGAGATTTGGGTCCCGATCAAGGGTGAATCGGGACGTGTCACCAGACCCCTGAAAATTGGGACGTCCCGCGCAAGTGGGGGCATATATTGCACCTGGCAATACTAATGTGTATAATCTATTCTAGTATGTTTATATGAAGTAAGTAAGTACAGTAAGTTTCGGTCGTTTTGTAATTTCCAGTTGAGTTTATATTGCTTTTAGTTTCGATTATTGATTTTATTGTTGTTTTGATAAGTAAATTTTTGCTATTATTTGCTATTATTATGTTGAGTTTGTACATTTAAAATATCAAAACAAACAAAAACAATTATTAAGGAGAGTCAAGCGGGAGGTTAGAAATTCGCCTTCGAGATTACTTTAAGCGAGAACAATAAATTGGCGGAATATGTATAAAATAATTTAAATCCTTTTTCTTAGTTTTACCACTTTCTCTATTTATGACGCTGTTGTATCACAAGTAGCTATAATAAAATTATCTTAGTTTTTGTATTCGCTTGACAGTTTTTACGTCTGATTATTGGAGGCACATCTCTACTAATTAAAAAAAATACCGCTAGTGAGCATATTACGTAACTGCGCACGCAAGTGAAATAAATTAAACTTATAATTTTATTAGTAAAATAAAACTACATTAGGCATTAGGTGAGATTTTTGAAGTTAATGTTAATGTAATAGTAATAACATAATAGAAAAAATTAATTTAAAAAATCTGTGTTATTTTCTAATAGATAAATTTTTTGTCATATCTTGCAAACGCACGAAGTTACGTTCTAATGACCTGTCAAGCTGTAACCCGCACCATGCTATAACGCAAAGACTATATATAAAAACAAACATAACGCAAAGACAAATAGATAAAAATTATGATCGCGTAGTGGCATTGTAAGAGTTCCGTGGGTGTCGGTGTGTGGCGACAGAGGAAAGCAAACCAGGAGGTGGGCAGCGGCATCTTCCCAAGAACAACTAATAAATAAAAAATTGCATTTGTCAATCCGTCTGCCGAGCATAGTAACTATGGTAAACATCCCTTTTCTGAAGCAACCTATGGAAGAGGCCTATGTGTCAGTGGATTTTAGATAGGCTGTACTGGTAAGGGTAAAAATAATATTTTAATGTGACTCTTTGTTTTAGGTCCTGGGGCACCTACTAAGAATGTGAGACTCTGTCTGTCCAATGGCTCAGGATACTCCCTAGATATATACACGTATGAGGAAGTCTCTGACCCCAGGACAGGAGTGGTAAGCCATTTTTCTACTTAGGATTGAAGTTTGAAGAGAAGTTGAATTAAAATTTGAATGAATAAATGAAGTTTTTCATATATTATATAAAATTTAATATTACTAAAATGATGTTTTGTGTTGATATATACGATATGTATTATCGATTATAATTATGAATGTATTTTTGCAGATAATGTTCCAGTCATATGGACCAAGGCAAGGACCTATGCATGGACTTCCCATCTCCACTCCTTATGTCACAAAAGACTATTTGCAGCAGAAGAGATTCCTGGTTTGTAGCTTTAGGATTGATTTTCGATCAACAGATAAAAGTTACCCGTCAAATAAGTCATAAGTTATAACTTTTTTTGAAATAAAAACTTCTTTATGATCATTGTGATTTGAAACTTGATATAATACGAAAAAGTTACCAAAAAAAAAAACATACATACATCTATAGGATTTAACCTGTGACAGAATAAGATAGTACCTATATATTGTTTTTCTGAAGGTTTCACTTCTACCGCGTGTGAACTGCACACATTTTTTTTAATATTATGATTTACCATATGAATAACTTTTATCTTAGTCATCCATTTTAAATAAATGATTATGGGCAAGGAACGGACAGAAATAAACATACCTATTAAATTATGTTGCTGACAACAACGGATGTAAAATTTTATAATTACATGGAAAAACTTTTTTCGACCTGTTTTTCTATGTTGTAATTGTGGAATTGTCTTCTAGGCCACGTCTCAAGGGACCACGTATGTGTACGACATCCCGGACATGTTCCGTCAATGTGTCGAGAGGCGATGGCGTGAGTGCATTGAAGAGGGTACTGTAGATGGTAAGAAAATTATTCCTGTAAACATTAACCATATTCTAAGAAAAAATGCCCCTGCCATGTTTTAAGTAAGGATAGGAAGGGGAGTGGAGGTGAAACGGTAGCGTACCCGTTGTCTTAGCAATCAGTAGTAGTTAATACAATAAATGTTTCCATTACAGGCCCACCTCCAGACAATGTAATGACCTGCGTAGAGTTGGTGGTAGAGCCCGATGGTGAAAGACGGGTGGTCGAGGTGACGAGGCTGCCTGGACAGAATACTGTGAGCTTCTTTCTCATTTATTGACCTTTGAAACTTGTTAAAATGTGTTTCATTTTTGAAGGCCTAAATGTTAACTTTTTCTATTTTAATATTTTAGAACTTCATAAAATGTATTATAGAAGTGATAGCATAAGTATTAGAAAGGAGTTAGTATAAAATAGTTAAAGGAATGGTAGGATTGTTATAGACATTATCACTAGTTTTTAAATTAATACCAACGATCCGCACCGGCTTCGGACGGGTGATTTCAGGATCCCGCGCCATCTACTGGGCCTAATTAACCTAACAACCATCCAGATGACCATACACACATGACAGATAAATACCCATAAAAATGTCTTATGTGAAAAATATAGAATGATTTAGTTTTCTTACTTTTTGAAAATTTATTTCATCTTATTTATAAAAAATGAACAAAGCACTTTATTCGGGTCTAAGATTCTATCGCACCCCACCCTCATCCCAAACGTCAGTGCATCATATTCACGTTTAAATGTTGTTTATCTTAGTTATGTTTTGTTGCGTCTGCCTATTCAAATACGGTGTGTATAGATAGTTTTTGTGGCATTGTTAGGCTGTCCGACTTAATAACCCAACCAATCTTTAAGCGTAAATATATTTCTTCTCCAAGTGAATTTAAACATGCTGTCTAAAAATAAATGGTACATCTATTGTCATCATGAATGGTGCCATACATCTATGAATATTACAACAACCACTATTGGTCATAATGCTTCAACATTATTATATTTTTAGGGAAAGACAAAAAAAACTAATCATTGTCTTTCATCATAAAAAATAATCAAAATACAAGAAATACAACATACATAGTGTTGCGCGCCACCAATAATGCCTAGTACATGGCGACACCTAGTCAGTCGGGACCAGTATGTACTCGAACATTCTAGATGTTTCTACAGTAGAAGGTTTTGGAAACTATCTAGGATAGTATTGGATTGGCGATACAAGCGAATACTTCGAAGCGATACAACTACGAACTAAAGTGATCAGTAGTACAATGAGCTTAAGAGTTCGAGACAATTAAAAACTGCCGAGTGAATTACGAAAATTGACACTTTAATTACAGAACACTAATTACAACTTAAAACCACACTAATAACAAAACACAATTCTACTACTGATCAATTTAGTTCGCAGTTGTATCGGTTCGCTTGTATTGCGAACTGAACACTGATTCTGGTAGCGGTTTATACCGGCCTTATATAGGCCGTCGGATAGTTCTAGAATCTTATACTGTAGAAACATCTAGAATGTACATACCGGTCCCGATTGAATAGGTGTCGATATTTCTAGAAAGTTCTTCTATGGAAATTTCTAGAAAGATCTTGACTCTCCTTCTGTCTTGTTGTCAGAACCAGAGTTCTGCTACCCGATACTAGAGGGCGCTAGTGGTAACTAGTGTTGCCATTTACCATCCATTAATTGTGACGCGCAACAATGTATTCAGCAGGGGACTTTTAATAGGTTGTAATGGTGATTTTTTATAGTTATTGTGGGTGTTAATATTACACTACAATACTATCTATAAAATTGATATGTTCAGCAGTTGACTTTTGAAAAAATACTATTATAACCTACAATGGTTACTTTTTTATAGTTATTGTAGGTGTTAATTTTCATAATAGATTCAGTCATTCATTACTCAATTACAGCTTATTAAATGTCCGCTGTTGAAGATATCTAGCTCTTTATATTGTCCAATTGTGGGCATATTAGTCGTAACTGCCATGTTTGGCAGGCGGGTTTACAACCGCAGATTTTAGTGTTGGCCTTCCCCAATAGATTGCCGTAGTTGCCACGATTCGCTGGCGGATTTAACACCACAAATTTTTGGATGCGGATGTCCATCTCCATCGTCTCATACGACACTCACAGGTGGATACGTGGTAGTTGGTATTCTGACTCCGTCACTACACTTATGAGGTGTACCATTAATGATGGTGGTGGTGGTGTGGTGGCACGCAGGTGGGGATGGTGGCGTGGCGACTGAGCTTGTACACACCGGAGTGCCCGCGCGGGCGCGACGTGGTGCTGCTGGCCAACGACCTCACGCACTACATGGGCTCGTTCGGCCCGCACGAGGACTGGCTCTTCTACCGCGCCTCGCAGTACGCGCGCGACCGCTCCATACCCAGGGTGAGTACTGCTAGTGCTGCTGGTGCTGCTGCTGGAGCTCTGGTGCGGCTGCCAACGACCTCACGCACTACATGGGCTCGTTCGGCCCGCACGAGGACTGGCTCTTCTACCGCGCCTCGCAGTACGCGCGCGACCGCTCTATACCCAGGGTGAGTACTGCTAGTGCTGCTGGTGCTGCTGCTGGAGCTCTGGTGCGGCTGCCAACGACCTCACGCACTACATGGGCTCGTTCGGCCCGCACGAGGACTGGCTCTTCTACCGCGCCTCGCAGTACGCGCGCGACCGCTCCATACCCAGGGTGAGTACTGCTAGTGCTGCTGGTGCTGCTGCTGGAGCTCTGGTGCGGCTGCCAACGACCTCACGCACTACATGGGCTCGTTCGGCCCGCACGAGGACTGGCTCTTCTACCGCGCCTCGCAGTACGCGCGCGACCGCTCCATACCCAGGGTGAGTACTGCTAGTGCTGCTGGTGCTGCTGCTGGAGCTCTGGTGCGGCTGCCAACGACCTCACGCACTACATGGGCTCGTTCGTCCCGCACGAGGACTGGCTCTTCTACCGCGCCTCGCAGTACGCGCGCGACCGCTCCATACCCAGGGTGAGTACTGCTAGTGCTGCTGGTGCTGCTGCTGGAGCTCTGGTGCGGCTGCCAACGACCTCACGCACTACATGGGCTCGTTCGGACCGCACGAGGACTGGCTCTTCTACCGCGTCTCACAGTACGCGCGCGACCGCTCCATACCCAGGGTGAGTACTGCTAGTGCTGCTGGTGCTGCTGCTGGAGCTCTGGTGCGGCTGCCAACGACCTCACGCACTACATGGGCTCGTTCGGCCCGCACGAGGACTGGCTCTTCTACCGCGCCTCGCAGTACGCGCGCGACCGTTCCATACCCAGGGTGAGTACTGCTAGTGCTGCTGGTGCTGCTGCTGGAGCTCTGGTGCGGCTGCCAACGACCTCACGCACTACATGGGCTCGTTCGGCCCGCACGAGGATTGGCTCTTCTACCGCGCCTCGCAGTACGCGCGCGACCGCTCCATACCCAGGGTGAGTACTGCTAGTGCTGCTGGTGCTGCTGCTGGTGCTGCTGCTGGAGCTCTGGTGCGGCTGCCAACGACCTCACGCACTACATGGGCTCGTTCGGCCCGCACGAGGACTGGCTCTTCTACCGCGCCTCGCAGTATGCGCGCGACCGCTCCATACCCAGGGTGAGTACTGCTAGTGCTGCTGATGCTGCTGCTGGAGCTCTGGTGCTGCTGCCAACGACCTCACGCACTACATGGGCTAGTTTGGCCAGTTGCGTTGTCGTTCCTGAGGACCAAGATGGAATGTCTCGTTTCCAGTGAACTTAGTATCCAGCAGTATTAAACTGCTATTTTACGCTGGCATTCTCTGAAAGCGTGGTGTTTACCCGGTCATACCGTCCCATTTATGCTACAACCACAATATAGCTACAGCATGGCTCTACCGTATACAATGATGTGTGTTGAATTTCGCTCACAGCGGCTAGTCAAACTAATACTACCCGCAGAAAAAGATTATAGTACACGAGTGTGCACTCAAGTTTGGGTACACTCTATTTTCTCTCACTCTTATTAGTTTAATAAAATGGCAATCGTACTCGATGGAAGAGAGATCAGGCGCAAGAGGTCCGTGAAAATAGTAGAATAGGAGAAAAGTGTGATTTTACAACATGTTACTGGGATTAAGAAAGGAATGCTTCGATAATTTGGACACGTAGAAAAAATTAATATGAAAATTGACAAAGAAAATGTATGCTGCAGAGGTTAGTGACAGAGTCGACAAGAGACGCTCTAGATGAAAAAAATTCAATCAAATTGGTGACGTATAGAAGATGGGCTAACTTAAGTATCCGACGAGCATATATGTGTACTAAGAAACGTGAGAAGTGTGTCAAAGTCGTGTCACACGGAAGTAGTATGAGTCCGTAGTCTCTGCCTACCCCTATGGGTGAGAGTATGAGAGTATGGTGAGAGTAAGAGTTTATGATGGTAAAGATGATGACTTGTTTTACTAAAGTATTAGACATTTAACAATCCTCTCTGAAATATCCAGCCTGATGCCGGACGTGTATTAAGCGCAAGTTTACTTGCAGATATACGTGAGCGTGAACTCGGGGGCGCGTATCGGCGTCGCGGAAGAAGTCAAGTCCGAGTTTAACGTCGCCTGGATCGACGCCGAGAGGCCGGAACGCGGCTTCAAGTGAGTATTCATAGATTTTTTGGCTGTGAATACCCTATAGGTTTAATAAAGCTTTTTGAAGGGTTTTATGTGTGTGTTAGAGCTTATAATAACAAAACACATTAAATTCAAACGGAAACACATTTCGATGTCATTTTAAGAAATGCTTTCATTCTCTCTCCCTCTCGCTCTTTTCATTAAATGACAATAAAAAGATACAGGAATATAGATTATCCTTAATTTAAATAAGCGAAGGTGTAACTACTTACAATAGCCAATCTGACATAGCAGTTGCGAGTATGGGAGAGGCCCATGATAAAGAATGAAGCGTCAGTAGTCTAATGGCAGGCCGCGGACTTCCAACTCGAAAGGTCGTGGGTTGAAATCCGCCATTCGATTACTGTCGTGGACCACTTCTAACACAAGCATTTTAAGCTTACCAGAAGTGGTTAAAGGGAATATTAGGAGTGTTTAATAGCATTACTAGTATTTAAAAAAAAGTGCAAAGGTACAGCATAATACCGATCCTAGAAGATGTGGTGATATATTTTCAAATACCGTATTATCATAAAATAGTAATTTATTTTTTAAGGTACCTCTACTTGACACCGGAGGCGTATTCGCGTCTCGGTCCGCTCGGCTCCGTCAAAACGGAACTCATCGATGACGAGGGAGAATCGCGCTACAAGATCACCGACATCATTGGTAAGTTCACATCTTATTTCTAGTTCGTTACCGGAAAAAGATTTTTCCTTATTTTTAAATAACTTTTAGGTTTGGTCACGTAAAAAGAATGAATGAGGAAAAAGTGACAAAGCAAATTTATGTTGCAGAGGTGAACGGAAGAGTCGGGAAGGGACGCCCTAGGAGAAAGTTTAGTGATCAAATTGTCGATATATTAAAAATGGGCTAAATTAAAACCGATCAATACAGGCTCATCCAAATTAATTACCGATGAGCCTGTATTGCAGGTATATGGATGAGGAGGAGGCGAGAGACGTGTGTCAGGATCGTTCCAAATAGAAAAGTCCATAGTCTCTGCCTACCCCTCTGGGTGACAGGCGTGATTGTTGATGTTATGTTATAAATAACCATTTACTGGTACTTCCATACAACTTTTATTAGAATCATCAAAATAACTACGCGTTTGGTCTCTAGAGCGCCACAAAAGAACAAATATACATCGTTGTGTAGTCGGGTAAAAAAGGAGTGTAGTGAGCAAAATATTTGTTGTGTCAAGGCAAAGAAGACGGGCTGGGCGTGGAGTGCTTGCGCGACGCCGGCCTGATCGCCGGCGAGACCGCGCAGGCCTACGAGGACATCGTGACCATCTCCATCGTCACCTGCAGGGCCATCGGCATCGGATCCTACGTGGTCAGGTGAGCCTCGATAGCGTTGTCTTTTAATACAATTAATAGAATCAGGCGTTACTTTGCGGAAATCCATTATATAAAAACTTTTACAAAAATTTACTTCGCAAATATCCGCGTTATAACATAAAATGATGTGTCTTACCTAGTACGAAGAGCACCTCCCGCCCTCCTTCAATTGCGTGCACTATCCCCGTTACCACTAATCCCAGCACCGCTACTCCCAACACCACTACACTAGGCAAGACACACCACTGACGATAATACGACACGTGTTTCGCTTCTACACGAGGCATCTTCAGGTGATATAGACTCTACGGTGGCTAACCGCTAAGTGCGGTAAATTTTTGTAAAAGTTTTTATAGCATTGTCTTTGCTACAGAACTAATGAGGCCATCCAGACTTTTTGGATTTTTAATGTCTATGGGCCATCATTCTTATTTTATATAGTCAATGAATAATAATAGTAAGACCATTAAACGCTCCAGTTCACTTTGGTTAAACGAGATCTACGCTATTAATCCTTTACTAATTGGTTAAATTAACGTTTAGAAAGGTCAATTTTGAGAAAGGATTTATTTTCTTTAATTTTTTTCTACATGCATGGGTATGTAAATAAATGTCTAGCCTCAACATAACAGTAGATGTTGTGGTTTGACGGAAGGCTATATGAGGGTAGGTGAGAGTGGCGCCAATCAAGGAGGATTAGAATAAAAAGAAGCCCTATAATCTTTGAACTAGCTCCGATTGTTAAATTTTTTGTCTCTCCTCCGTCAGGCTTGGGCACCGCGTGATCCAGGTGGAGTCGTCGTACATAATCCTGACGGGGTACGCGGCGCTGAACAAGGTGTTGGGGCGCGCGGTGTACGCCAGCAACAACCAGCTGGGCGGCGTGCAGATCATGCACAACAACGGCGTGTCGCACGCAGTGGCGCCCACAGACCTGGACGCCGTCAGGACTGCCCTGCGCTGGCTCTCCTACGTGCCTAAGGTCAGGTCTCCCTTATACTCCTCACGCTCGGCAATAGATGTGTCCTTCTTTTATATAAAACGTGATATACAACATACAATGCACTTTATGGTAAGTGGTTGTCATTTACCATAAAGTGACCTATTACATGGTAGAGCCATGCTGCAGCTATATTAGTGGTATAGTTGTAACACGGATGGGTCGGCTCGACCGGGGAGGGAGCACGCTCTCACAGAATACCAGCGTAAAATGACAGCATGACACTGCTGTGTTTCGTATGGTGAGTGTAGAGAACCGGAGACCCTTTTTACTAGAAACGAGGCATTCCATCTTAGTGCTCAAAGGCTGGCAACGCATCTTCATTATGATTCTTAATTGAGGATAGATGTAGATGTCAATGGGCCACAGCAACCACTTACCATCAGGTGGACTGTGTGCTTTTTTATCACCCTTATCCTATAAAAAGAGTGAAGTTCATGCCCACCTGTAACAAACTTCAAACAAGGAAGACTACAGCTGTACTATCACCTTTGAGAACTAAAATGGAATACCTCACAGCCTAAAACTGCCAATCTGACATTTAGTTAAGTTACTGCAAATATGTGCGGGGAGGCACAGGCCTGCTCTCATTATTATATGGAAAAATCATGCGTAAATGATCGCAATATCATGGTACATTTTCTGTGTTAGCGTATATTTTATAATGATTTCTTATATTTACGCGAACACTACACATTTAAATAAAACTAATTTTACGGATTTTATCGCGTATATTAACTCGTCGGGAATGTAAAATAAGTTAATATACGCGATAAAATCCGTTAAATTAGTTTTATTTAAAAGCGTATATTTTACTTGTGCATTTAATTCCGCAGGACAAATTTAGCATGGTGCCCATCATGCGTTGCGCGGATCCAATCGATCGTCCGGTAGAGTGGGTGCCACCAAAAGCGGCCCACGATCCTCGGCTCATGCTTACAGGCGACAGCCAGCGTCGAGGATTCTTCGATGCTGGTTCCTTCGATGAGATCATGAAGCCCTGGGCGCAAACTGTAATCACAGGTATGATTTATCAGCTATAGTCTATTTATTATATAGTTTACATCGATTTCCGTCATTCACGTCTTGACAGTTTACAAACAATTAAAAATGTGTCATGTGTTTTACATGAGTTTGATTACACATTTGAGTTGGCCGCTCGATGTCATTAGAAAATTCATCGCCTTATTCAGTACCGGTGTTTCTTAAACAGCGATTATGCGAATAACCATAAATATCGTTATTACACGTTATTTACTACGTGGTAGATCCATGATGGCTGTAAGCTGTATTATGGTGGCAGTAGGAAGAGATCCGCTCGATCGGCGAAGGACCACGCTTTTACAGAAACCAGCGTAAAATAACAACCTAAATCTGCTGTGTTTCGCATGAGAACCGGATACCCTTTTACTGGTAACGCAGCATTCCATCGTAGTCTTCAGGGGTGACAACGAATCTGTATTTTGATTTTTGATCGAGGGTAGATGTAGATCTGTCTTTGGGCCACAGCATCCACTTACATTAAGTTGGCTGTGTGCTCTTTAGTAACTCTTACGCTATAAAATATTGCCTCCTCTACACTACTCGCGAAGTTACTTTGACGAAGTGCTCGTCGAAGTCGATCGCAGTCCGAAGAACGTGACTAAACACTCGTGCTACTTCGCGAAGAACTCATTTGTCTTGAGCCACCCGCACCCTTCACATGAATAACGTTCAAGGGGCCGCTGCTATAGGTACCTAATTGTATGAACAGTACGACGTCAATGCGTTAACTAAATAAATAATTATGTAGAAAGCTACATATTTAATATTTATATATTAAAAAAAATATTCATAACTGGCGTAAGCCGAGTAGTGTAGTGAGACGCTTCGTGTAACTTCGGAGTACTTCGCGAAGTCCTTTGACTCTGGCGCAAAAACCGACAGCGATCGGAAGTCGTCCGAGGCAAAGCGAGGTTGCATGAAGCGCATCGAAGTACCTCTCTACACTATTCGCCTCATCCAACTTCGATCTACTTCGCGAGTAGTGTAGAGGAGGCATAAAAAACTCCAACAGACGGCTGTATAAACTTGTACATATAACTCTCTCAGAGACATCGCATATAAGCCGTAACTTTACATTTACTACTTTTAGATGACAAATGATTTCATTCATCCATCCACCTATTTCAGTCTATAAAATACCACTGCTTTTTTATTAAGATTTTTGGCTTGGATGCTTGTTCTTTAAGCCATGTCGTCATCTATCTCAGTATAAAGTGATAATAATCCTTCATACTTAGTGCACTGCTTCACAATATGTTGATGCGTAACATTGCGTAGTTTTGGGAAATTTTGACGACAACTATGTCAGCAGACAGTTGGCGATAGTATCTCAAAGCACCTAAGCAAACAGACACCTTATCTAGGGATTTACGTCACCATCGGTGCTTTTTTTTCACCGTTTCCACTAATAGTTCATATGCGCAAACATTTATACACTAAATCGTACAATTTTTACATATCAAAATCCACTTCAAACCATTATTTTAACAATATTACACGAGCAATAATCCGCCGGCGGTCAAGTTTCCGCCAAAACTCCAAATGTCCACTGCTGAACATAGAGCCCAACTTATAATTTAAAAAAAATCCTAGACCGGTGACGGTGATAATCCGCCTGACCATTACGACATGTCCGGAAAAACCACTAGCAATCAATTTTCATGATCTGGTAGAAAAGTAATTAAGCGAATGAATACATTTAAATGTTCCGTTATCAGGTCGAGCTCGTTTGGGTGGCATTCCTGTGGGAGTCATAGCGGTCGAGACCAGGACGGTAGAGATTACACTGCCAGCGGATCCCGCCAATTTGGACTCCGAATCCAAGACTCTGCAGCAAGCGGGACAGGTAAGTTTATCCTAGGGTTGCTTTGTGTTAGCAGTACCAGGCGCTCGCCTTAAATTTCTTAGTAAGTGATGGACCTATCTTCGATTCCTGCTGACGCTAATGAAATTGTTATGCTCAATTATAATTGCTGATTTACCACGCATCCGGCGGTGAAGTAAGACGTTATGTTTGATGACCATTTCTCTTCCTCATCCTCATAATGTGGATTCCGCATACATTTCCACATTTTAAAAATTATTATTGGTAAAACTATAGACATCCGGTACTAGCGTACGGGGGAGATATGGCGTAGGTTTGGGGGAAGCCTCTTCCCCCCTTGTGGAAAAGAGTAAAGCGTCTCCCACACAGAAGTCTCTCTCTCTAAACCCATGCGGCCATGGCGCGGCCTGCCAGCGGCTGGCCGCGCCATGGCCGCATGGGTTTAGAGACTCACTTACATAGCAAGCGAATACAACTGGCCGCCACCGCAAGCCGCTTTTGTGTGGGAGACGCTTTAGCGAGTACGCGGCCAGTCGGTGGCCGCAGCGCGGTCACGCGCCTAATTTTTACAACAGGCCGCGTGTACTGCGTGAAAAATGGTGTTAAATTCAGAGATTGTAATAGAAACAAAACAAAATTATCCAATACTTTATGATAATTCGCATCGTGATTACAAAAGCATTAGGATTAAAAACAAAATATATGATAATATTTCTGAATATAATAAGACTTCATCACGGTTAGCCATGTTTACTGACGTCTAATCGTAGCACATACAACACAGCGAATAGCGCTTCAGGCCGCCACTGCGAGCGCGGCGGTGTGTTGTCGCCGTGGCTTGCGGAGGCGGCCAACCGAGTGCCACGGCTCCAACGCTGCAACAACACACCGCCGCGCTCGCAGTGGCGGCCTGAAGCGCTATTCGCTGTGTTGTCTGTGCTACGTACGTGTCAGTTAACATAACGAAATCTTATTACTCCTATTATATTCAGCAATATTATCCCATATTTTGTTTTTAATCCTAATGTTTTTGTAATCACGGTGTGAAGTATCATTAAATTGCCGGATAATTTTGCACTGTTTATATTAAAATCTCTGTATTCAGTGCAATTTTTCAAGCGGTACACGTCGCCTGTTGTAAAAATTTACATGTGACCGCGCTGCGGGAAGGGCCAGGCACGTGGCCGCTATGGTTTGCAGACTCACATTGCAAACGAATACAATTGCCACCGCAACAAGCCGCTTGTGTGTGGGAGACGCTTAATGATTTTTTTTTGTAATATCATAACCTCAATTTCTTTCTTACACAGTATATTCTTACAATATTGATTTTTTACATAGAATATCCAAAGATACTTCTCGGAAAGTGCAGCCCCTTCGCCCTTGCGTAGCAAATTGCACGCACCCATGCTCACCTCCGCAGCTTTGGCTTATTGCTAGCTTCAGCCGCTACGGCTCGTACAGATGCCTGTTGTTTGCTACAGCGAGCGGGGGCTGCTCTTTCTATGCGCCTACGGCTATACAAATCACTAGAGGTAGAGCAGACAAGACTACATGGAGTCGGGGCGTGCTGATTTGGTTTTAGTACAGATTCGACCTATAAACTTAAATCTTATCTATAAACTCAGGTTGCCCTAAACTGCTATGATAGTGGTAAAATAGCAGCTTAACACTGCTGTGTTTCGTATAGTGAGTGTAGAAACCGGAGACCCATTTTACTAAAAGAGAGAAGAGGCATTCCATCTTAGTCCTTACGGGTGACAACGCATCTGCATTTTGATTTTTTATTGAGGATAGATGTAGATGTCTATGGGTCATAGCAACTACTTACCATCAGATGGACTGTGTTTGGCACCCTATCCTATAAATAAAATACTTTTTTTGGGTGACCCGTTTCGTTATTTGCAATTTTTAGGAGGTGGAAATTATTATTATCATAATTAATTCAAAACGCATTTCCAACATCCAAAAACAGTGTAAAAACTGCAAGCTTAACCCTGGCAAGCCTCCTAAACCCAAAACTAAATTAAAATCAAGTACGGGATGTCTATAGCCAACCGTTATTATTCATTATTACCGTTACAGCTTATCAAAAGTTATTACAGGTTTTACAAACTGACTTACCCTCCTTATTCTCAAGGATTATAATCAACCATATTATTATCATATCATCCAATTCCGCTGCTGCATAAGCTTTACAGAAATTTGAAGAGGCATTAGACACTGATGGCTTTCTACTCTATCAATAGCAGGACACTGATGAAACTGTCAAATTGAAATTTCGTTTCGCCTAATAACTTCAAGTGTGTTGTATTGTGTAGGGCGTCTGGAAAAAATACAAATAATTTCTTTATATTACTATTAATTTGATATGTTGCAGCCGCATTTACTTGTGTTTTCCTTAAAATAAATAAAATAGAAAAAACTAAAATCTCAAAGCTAACATTTTACCATATTTTATTATGACTCGGGATGCACACCTAAAAGTTGACCTTATTTCGAGATAGGTTTTTGTTTCAATAGCCATACATTTACATCATATACGCCGATGTGCTCATCACTCGTCTTTGTATAAGGTGCAATGCAAACTATAATCAATTAGCATGAAGATAGTGACGTTATTCGAACTAAACTAATTCGAAGCGCCATTGGAAAATCTATGCCAACTGCAGCTCAATTTGCGTTGGGTCATATTTTGGAGCTAAGGAATTCTTCCATGTGTTATTTGCATTCACTGGTCACATTATACAATATAATATTACCTAATAGTAATGAAGGTATTTATTAGAAGGTAGCGTATTTTAACTAAGAGCACGTACACTAACGAGAAACTTTCCAGTCTCTGACGTACACCAAACTTATTGAACCTTTTTAAATAAAAAGAAAACGAAAAAAAAAACCACTACTCAATCGCACTTCCGTGACCAAACGTGAATTCGAGATCTGCTTCCGCAACTTCACCAGTGCAGTACCCATGAACACCTCGAAGTAAATTACAGTGCCTTAACACCCCTAAAATCTGTATTCCGATTTGTAGATAAATTAAATCAATTTCTCCAGGTCTGGTTCCCTGATTCGGCATACAAGACGTCGCAAGCTATAAACGACTTCTCCCGCGAGAACCTGCCCATTATTATTTTTGCAAACTGGCGAGGATTTAGTGGCGGTCAAAAAGGTAATATTTTGAAATTAATTTACATTTACAGTAAAGTAATTGATCTGTTATTTATTATTTTAGACAGCTTTATGAAAGGAGAAAGTGTTATGATATCTTAGCCAATTGTAAACATATTTTTTGAAATAGAATATACTTGAGATGCAACATTAAAATTTAAAAAAAATTACACCTATAAGAGTGGAAAAATAAGCGATAAATATTTTAATAAAACTGTTGTGACGATATTCTAGTTACCTTGAGCTTGCTAAATCCATACAAATGTGTCAAAATGAAAAATAACTTCTAATAGAGTTGGAACCGATTTTGAAGATCTGTAAAGAATACAGTGATTGCGTCTATAATAGATTTAATTGCACCTCATCTTGCTATTATTTTTAATACTTGTATCGATTCTGGTGTGTTTCCTAATTTAATGAAGTATAGTAAAGTAATACCTTTATTTAAATCTGGTAGTACATTGGACCCCGCTAATTATAGACCTATTTCTGTACTACCAACTCTCAGTAAAATTTTTGAAAAAATAATTTTGGATCAATTGTTAATTTTTTTAATACAAATAAATTACTTCATAAAAATCAATTTGGTTTTACAAGGGGTCGCTCGACGTCTGACGCCGGTGTTGAGCTTATGAAATATATGCCTGGGAGAATTCACAAGATGCCTTAGGTATTTTCTGTGACCTTTCCAAGGCTTTCGATTGTGTTCATCATGATACATTAATCAGGAAACTACAACATTACGGTGTAAAAAATTTGGCGCTTAAACTTATTACTTCATATTTAAGTAACAGAACTCAAAAAGTCGTCATTAATGGTAAATGTTCCTCCGGATCAGTAGTATCAATGGGCGTTCCTCAGGGCTCGATTCTTGGCCCATTCCTGTTCTTAATCTATATTAATGACTTACCTTATCTTGTAGGGGACAATCACGATATAGTATTATTTGCTGACGATACCTCTTTAATTTTCAAACTGAAACGGCAGTCAATTAAATATGACGATGTAAATAATGCTCTATCGAAACTAGTACATTTGTTTAACGCCAACAATTTGCTCTTAAACGGCAATAAGACAAAATGTATTAAATTTACAATACCTAATGTAAAACATTCGAAAACCAATGTGCTCTTAAATGGGGAGGAGTTGAGTCTTGTGGATACCACTGTTTTTCTCGGTATTACTATTGACGCGAAACTTCAATGGGGCCCCCATATATCTAAATTAGCAAGCTGACTTAGTTCTGCAGCATATGCTGTAAGAAAGATTAGAAGTCTCACAGATGTTGAGACAGCTAGGTTAGTGTATTTTAGTTATTTTCATAGCGTAATGTCTTATGGAATTTTGCTATGGGGTAATGCGACTGATATTGAAGCTATATTTGTTTTGCAAAAGAGAGCCGTACGGGCGATTTATAATCTAAATTGTAAAGAGTCCCTTAGAGAAAAATTTAAAGAAATAAACATATTAACTTTGGCATCGCAATATATTTATGAAAATGTAATGTATGTACATAAAAACATAAATAGCTTTAATAAGAATAAGGATGTTCATACCTTAAACACTAGGAACAAACATAAGCTTGTAATGCCACTTACAAGACTCCACAGAATTAGTAATTCATTTATGGGGCAATGTATACGCTTTTACAACAGAATCCCAGAACATGTTCAAAGTTTGTCAATAAACAAGTTTAAAAGTTTTATTAAAGAAAAACTGTACAAAAAGGGTTATTATAATATCAAGGAATACATGAATGAAAATAACCCCTGGGAATAAGGTGATCGCCACCATGCTGGTTCTATGAAAATTCATTTAAAATTGTATAAACAAAATTATTGTTAAGTGAAATTTTGTTTAAAAAAAGTCCCGCTGGGTTTCTTGCTGGTTCTTCCCAGGACAGAGGTATTTTCCGAACCAGTGGTAAAAAAAATAATGACTTTCAATAAGTATTATGTAATAATCCATATTGAATAAAAATCATTCTATTCTATTCTATTCTAAAAAAATAAAACAATTTTCGCATAATAACTTTTGAAGTCAGAGGAACTATTTAATTTAGTAAAATTAACTGAATTTAATTTATTCTTTTTGAGGGTAGTTCAATATCACAGTCTATGAAAACACTGATAACATCTTTAATTCATTTAAAGTGCAATAGAATTGTTCAATAAGTTTTACTTAATTGTAACAACTTACGTCCATACTGAACAATGGCTTAATATTGCGTTCTTGAAAGAAGTAAGCACGTTTCACTTAACATTGTCACTCACTGATTGTAAACAATTTAATTGATAAGACTAGTAACACAACACAATTATTGGTAATCTAGGGTAAACTATTATATCACTTTATAAATCACTGCATCTAACTTGCTTATATGACTGTGTGCATGTGGGGGTGTATACTTGTTCCAGGTAACCTCGCGTACATAATTCATGCATAGTTACCTGCGTTTCACCAAACATCCGCCACACTATCACTGTGTCAGTGTTGACTGGTACTGAATCCGGCTCGAAAGACCAACTGTTTAGGCGAATAATTAAACATGGTCTCCACGAAACACACATTTCAACCGTATTTATTTCAAAGTTTATTATCATTTATTTTAAACTTATGTGTACTAAAAAAGAAGAAATTAGAGACCGATGCAATATACAACTTACACCATCTAGGATAGTTAGCTGAAATAGGGATCTAATTTGACTTCACACAAATTCTCATATATATTTTTATCGCGTCTAATTTTTTTGTGAAATAAATAAATACGAGTAATTATTTTTTTCTTTCTTCTTTCTTTCTTTGTGAGTTCGTGTTTTTAATGAAAATATAATTTGGGTGTGGTGGTGGGCAGACATGTACGAGCAGATCCTGAAGTTCGGTGCGGAGATCGTGCGCGCGCTGCGTGGAGCCACGGCGCCCGTGCTGGTGTACGTGCCGCCCGGCGCCGAGCTGCGCGGCGGCGCCTGGGCGGTCGTCGACCCCAGCGTCAACGCGCAGCGCATGGAGATGTACGCCGACCCCGACGCCAGGTGCCTAACCATCCCATGTCTCGTCCACTCAAGCACAGCCACGGCGCCCGTGCTGGTGTACGTGCGCCCGGGCGGTCGTCGACCCCAGCGTCAACGCGCAGCGCATGGAGATGTACGCCGACCCCGACGCCAGGTGCCTAACCATCCCATGTCTCGTCCACTCAAGCACAGCCACGGCGCCCGTGCTGGTGTACGTGCGCCCGGGCGGTCGTCGACCCCAGCGTCAACGCGCAGCGCATGGAGATGTACGCCGACCCCGACGCCAGGTGCCTAACCATCCCATGTCTCGTCCACTCAAGCACAGCCACGGCGCCCGTGCTGGTGTACGTGCGCCCGGGCGGTCGTCGACCCCAGCGTCAACGCGCAGCGCATGGAGATGTACGCCGACCCCGACGCCAGGTGCCTAACCATCCCATGTCTCGTCCACTCAAGCACAGCCACGGCGCCCGTGCTGGTGTACGTGCGCCCGGGCGGTCGTCGACCCCAGCGTCAACGCGCAGCGCATGGAGATGTACGCCGACCCCGACGCCAGGTGCCTAACCATCCCATGTCTCGTCCACTCAAGCACAGCCACGGCGCCCGTGCTGGTGTACGTGCGCCCGGGCGGTCGTCGACCCCAGCGTCAACGCGCAGCGCATGGAGATGTACGCCGACCCCGACGCCAGGTGCCTAACCATCCCATGTCTCGTCCACTCAAGCACAGCCACGGCGCCCGTGCTGGTGTACGTGCGCCCGGGCGGTCGTCGACCCCAGCGTCAACGCGCAGCGCATGGAGATGTACGCCGACCCCGACGCCAGGTGCCTAACCATCCCATGTCTCGTCCACTCAAGCACAGCCACGGCGCCCGTGCTGGTGTACGTGCGCCCGGGCGGTCGTCGACCCCAGCGTCAACGCGCAGCGCATGGAGATGTACGCCGACCCCGACGCCAGGTGCCTAACCATCCCATGTCTCGTCCACTCAAGCACAGCCACGGCGCCCGTGCTGGTGTACGTGCGCCCGGGCGGTCGTCGACCCCAGCGTCAACGCGCAGCGCATGGAGATGTACGCCGACCCCGACGCCAGGTGCCTAACCATCCCATGCCTCGTCCACTCAAGCACAGCCACGGCGCCCGTGCTGGTGTACGTGCGCCCGGGCGGTCGTCGACCCCAGCGTCAACGCGCAGCGCATGGAGATGTACGCCGACCCCGACGCCAGGTGCCTAACCATCCCATGCCTCGTCCACTCAAGCACAGCCACGGCGCCCGTGCTGGTGTACGTGCGCCCGGGCGGTCGTCGACCCCAGCGTCAACGCGCAGCGCATGGAGATGTACGCCGACCCCGACGCCAGGTGCCTAACCATCCCATGTCTCGTCCACTCAAGCACAGCCACGGCGCCCGTGCTGGTGTACGTGCGCCCGGGCGGTCGTCGACCCCAGCGTCAACGCGCAGCGCATGGAGATGTACGCCGACCCCGACGCCAGGTGCCTAACCATCCCATGCCTCGTCCACTCAAGCACTCAACCACTTTCTCGCTCAGTCGTTATTTTATTCATTCACACATTTATACACTAACGTATTCATTCATTTACACATTCATTTATTCATTCATTCAATCATTAAGTCTCAATAATTCATTTGTTCATTCACTTTTTAAAGAATGCGAAAAATAACAGAAATATTCATTAAAAATATTTATTCAAATATGAATTTATTAATTCACACTTTAATTAATGAATTCAATCACACATTTAATCATTAAATCACAATAATTTATACGTTTATTAAACTAAACTACATAATTTTTACACGGTAAAGCCGTGCTATTGGTTGTAGCATAAATGGGTAAGCTCGACCGAGGTAGGATCCCACTCTCACATAATACCAGCGTAAAATAGCAGCTTTATTGTGTTTCGTATAGTAAACTGGAGACCATCTTTACAGGAAACTAGGCAATCCATCTTAATCCTCAGGGGTGACAACGGAACTGCATTTTGATTCTTAATTGAGGATAAATGTAGAGCCTATGGGCCACGGTATCCACTTACCATCAGGTAGACTGGGCTCGTTTGTCATCCTTATTCCATAAAAAATCCTTTCGTTAATTCACACATTAATTTAATAAATTACTTACACATCTATTCATCCTTTCATACATACATTTAGTAATTTAACGGCTCTGTGGCGCAGTAGCTTAGCAATAGGTTGTTGCGCTAAATGTTCGGTTTTGTATCCCGCACAGATTATATATTTGTATGGCCTACAAATAATTGTTTCGGTTTCCGGATGCTAGTCCTCATGAACTTTGTGTATATGAACTAGCCCCTACGATACAGGAGAAAATCCTAGTGTGGGGCTTTCATATTTTTTAATAATACACAAAAAACGACAGAAATTTTTATTCATTAAGTCAGAAATTCATCTATTTACATATTAATTTACTTATTCACACGTTCATTCATTCATTTACACATTAATTAATTATAACATTAATTCATTCATTCAATTACATATTAAAGCACTAAACACATTAATAAATTCATTCATTTACACATACATTTATGAAATCATTTACACCTCCATTCATCTTTCACACATTTATTCCTTTAAATTATTCAAACATAAATTTACTAATTCATTTAAATATTAATTAATTAATTATTTTATACTTTCGCATATTAAATTAGTAATTTGATAATACATAAATTAATAGATTAATTTTTTTACGTGGTATAGCCATGCTGCAACTGTATTAGTAGTATAGTAGTAGTAGGTATAGTTGTAGCACGAATGGGTCGGCTCGACCGGGAAGGACCACGCTCTCACAGAATGCCAACGTAAAATAGCAGCTTAACGCTGCTGTTTTTCTTATGATGAGTGTAGAGAACAGGAGACCCATTTTACTGGAAACGAGGCATTACAACTTAGTCCACACGGGTGACAACGCATTTGCATTTTGATTTGTAATCGGGTATAGATGTAGATGTCTATGGGCCGCAGCAACCACTTACCATCAGGTGGACTATGTGCTCGTTTGTCACTCTTATCCTAAAAGAAAATTACTTTGTTCATTCCTTCACCATTAACATATTTGTTAATTCACACATTCATTTATTTAGTAATTCATTTACAAATTCATTCAAGTATTAATTAATTTGTTTCCTCACACAATGAGGGCTAATAATTTTCTGCTCACCAGATGTCGCTAGATGACAGTGAGGTGAAGTTTCTTGATACACAATGTTATTTAATTGAGAAGTTAGTTTCAAATAAAAGTTTATCAGTTTCTAGAGTATTATATTAATACACAAAACAATGAGTCAGTGGTTTGCTCTTTAATTTTTGCACATTTTTAACTTTTTTTTTAATTTTTCAAGTTTTATGAATATCTGTGTTTTGGTTTATTTAGACCGGCGACGAGGAGCATCAAAACTTTGAGACTTCTGCTGCGATCGCCAACACGCTTGCGAAGCGTAGTGATTTAGACAAATCCAATCCTCCATACCTACCGACAGGAGAGAGTATTTTAAAGAACGAGGCAATTAATGATTGTATTAAGAAATGAATTCATGATTTACTTATTCATTAGTAACATAGGCCTCCCCCATAGATCCTCATAGAGGTAATTTTCTTCATAGTTGCTACGATGAGATGGCGGGTTGGCAACCGAAGTTTTTTAATTATTTTGTGTTGTTATCACTAAGATGCTGCTGCCTGTCTCCTTTTTCATTTCTCTCTGCCGCCTCTTATGGTGTAGTGGATATTCTTATTCCGCCACTACACAGCAGGCAACACAGACCGAATAGCGCAGCCTTAAAAACTTTTATTAATTCTTGATGATGATAACATATCATTTTAGAATCGTGTCTATTGGATCTATGTTTTGTTTGCTTTAGTAATTGAAAATTTTTATTTTACGTCAACAGGGGCGGTGTGTTGGAGGCAGAAGGCATAGTAGAAGTTAAGTTTAAGCAACGGGATATACTGAAAACAATGCACCGGTTAGACCCGGAGCTGTTACGGTTAAGTGCTCGAATCTCAGGTGAGTTAACTTATAGCATAAAATTTGTCTTTGACCATGACATTTGTATAAGATGACCATCGATCACTAATAAAAAAGATGACAAATTAATATGAAATAATTATGATATTGTTTTAAAATTATATCATATCAGAAGTATGTATCCTGCTCTTTGGTTTACTGGTCGTTAGTGAGATAGCTGATCATGACGTCCCGTGCTCGAATCCCCGGTCGGGCCAAAATCTATTTTTTGGGTTTTTCGGTCAAGGGATTCTCAGTAGCAACCCGGAATCGGGAAGTTGGTGGTGTTTTACCCCTGTGGAATCATTTACACTTTAATTCATTCATTCACACTTTAATTCATTCATTCACACGTTAATTCATTAATTCACACGTTAATTTATTCATTCACACGTTAATTCATTCATTTACACGTTAATTGATTCCTTCAATCATTAAAACACAATAATTTATTCGTTTATTAACTTGCACATATATACAATCTTTACGTGGTAGTGCCATGCTGCAGCTATATCATGGTTGTAGCACGAATGGGTTGGCTCGACTGGGAAAGGACTACGATCTCACAAAACGTCAGCGTTAAATAGCAGCTTAATTCTGCTGTGTTTCGTATGGTGTGTGTAGAGAACCGCAGACCCTATTTATGGAAACAAGGCATTCCATCTTAATCCACGGCTACCGCCTTAGTCAAGTATCTATAGATAGTAGATAAGTATGGGTCCCAGCATCTACTTTCCATCAGACGGGCTGTGTGCTTGTTTGTCACCCTTATGGTATTAAAAAAAAACTATCTCGCCTGTCACCTGGAGGGATAGGACGAGACGACTCCCGCTCGCTAGCTCTCTTGTTTCCTTCGCATTCATGTTCGTCGGGTTAAGGATACTCTTAATTTGGCCCATCTTTTTAATATATCGTCATTTTCGTCGATAAACTTCCGTCTAGGACGTACCTTACAAACGTTAACTACACAATGATTTTTATGCATTGTTCCAGAAATTAAAGATCAAATCAAAGAAATATCCAAAGGCTTTGATAGGAGAGGTTCTATCGACGACGTGCTCGTCCGAACTGATGCTGGGAATCAAGGTTTGTAGTTTTTCCTTTTTAAAATCAGAGCAGTAACTTGATATAACTTTTTTTTTGCATAGTGGCGGAGATTTAAAAGGTTACTATATTGTGAGCCTTGTAATTAGGCGATTAATATAAACTTGTGTAGCTTGTGGTCGATATTTGACTAATTGTGTGGAAACATCGTTAATATGTTTGCATGTCCTTATATTTAACTCACACAGCCATAAAATTGATCTTGCTATCAATATCAATTTAAGCGATCACCAAATGGTGACAGGCACACTGAATCTAAACGTTACGATGGAGAGGTCACGTGTAATGAAGTCAACGCTCCGTCCCCCTCGTGATCTAATCTAAAGTCCCGTTTTCAACCGTTTTCAGTGCCTAGAAGATTGCAATGCAGTGGACGATATGAATGACAAGCTCGTGGAAACTGTCCATGCGGTCGGAACTAAGTTCTGCAAGACCCGCCGCAGAAGAACACAAAAACTCTCCGATCACACTCTTAATCTCATGGCTGTTAGACGGGAGATGAGGCTACATTCTTCAACAGACTTGACAGTACATACGGCGGGACTTACGCAACTTCAATACAGCTCGTATTGAAGAAGCGATCGAGCGGAACCAAGGCTCCAAAGTCTTTGCCAGAGATCTGTCTGCCAGAAAGAGCCAACTGTCAAAGCTGAAGACCGAATGTGGCAGCATCGTTTCCGGGACACCAGAGATTTTGAGTGAGATTGAGAGGTTCTATGGGCAGCTTTACACATCATCTTTGGAGCCACACGTAAGTGTGAGTAACGATCCAAGAGCGGGTCTTATCCGACACTATTCCGATGATATCCCGGACGTCAGTCTGAGCGAGATTAGAATGGCTCTCCAGCACCTTAAAAACGGCAAGGCCCCAGGCGAGGATGGAATTACAGCGGAGCTTCCGAAAGCGGGTGGAAAACCGGTACTTGAAGTCCTTCAGAAGCTCTTTAATTCCGTCCTCCATGGTGGCATTACACCGGAGGCGTGGAGCAGAAGTGCGGTGGTCTTGTTCTTCAAGAAAGGTGACAATGCTCTCTTGAATAACTACAGACCGATTTCCCTTCTGAGCCGCGTCTACGTGCTGTTTTCGAGAGTCATTACGAATCGTCTCGCGCGCAGACTTGACGACTTCCAACCTCCCGAACAAGCCGGTTTCCGCAAAGGCTTTAGCATCATAGACCACATATATACCCTTCGGCAAATTGTACAGAAGTCAGAGGAGTACAATTTGCCACTATGTCTGGCGTATGTGGACTATAAGAAAGCCTTTGATTCCGTCGAAATTTGGGCGGTGCTGCAGTCCCTTCAGCGGTGCCAAGTTGACTGTCGGTATATCGAAGTGTTGATGTGCTTGTACAGTAGGGCTACGATCGCTATCCGAGCACAGAACCAGAGTACGAAACCTATCCAATTGCAGAGAGGTGTAAGACAGGGTGACCTCATATCCCCGAAACTCTTTACCGCTGCATTGGAAGATGTTTTCAAGCTGCTGGACTGGAAAGGATGCGGTATCAACATCAATGGCGAGTACATCACTCACCTTCGATTTGCCGACGATATAGTCCTTATGGCAGAATCGCTGGAGGACCTAAGCACTATGCTCAATGACCTCAATAGTGTTTCCCAACGGATAGGTCTTAAGATGAACATGGACAAAACAAAGATCATGTTTAATGTCCATGTCACACCTATGCCGGTAGTTGTTGGGAGCACTAAGCTCGAAGTTGTTGACGAGTATGTTTACCTGGGGCAAATAGTCCGACTAGCTAAGTCCAACTGCGACCGAGAGGTCGTTCGACGGATTGAACTCGGTTGGGCAGCGTTCGGGAAATTACGGTACATCTTCTCGTCAGGTATACCTCAAAACTTGAAAACGACACTATAAAATCAGTGTGTTGCCAGTGATGACGTATGGAACTGAGACGTGGTCCTTCAATGCTGGCCGTATGAGGAAGCTCAAGGTCGCTTAGCGAGCTATGGAGAGGGCTATGCTCGGAGTTTCTCTGCGTGATAAACTTAGAAATGAGGATATCCGCAGTAGAACCAGAGTGACCGACATAGCCCAGCGGATTAGTAAGCTGAAGTGGCAATGGGCCGGCAATATACCTCGAAGAACCGACAACCGATGGGGAAAAAGGTTCTCGAGTGGCGGTCTCGTACCGGTGGACGAAGTGTAGGGCGTCCCCCCACTAGATGGAGTGACGACCTGGTAAGATATGCAGTAAGTCGAGGGATGCAGGTGACAAAAATATTGTGATATTTCAGCGTAACTCTTCCTTATGTGTTGAAACATTTTCTTGCGTATTTTTTTTTATTTGAAATTTTTGTAATAGCGGAATCTCGAGTCGGTGAGCTGGAGGCGGAGTTAGTTGCAGCGGAGAAGACTGTAAAATCCCGGGAGAAGGAGTTGAGTCCTATATACCATGAAGTAAGTAATTGGTTATCATGCATAAGAATATCCACTATCACATTTCATCCCGTGGGTGTCGTTAGAGGCGGCAGAGGGAAATGGTATAGGATTAGGGCGGGAGCGTCTTCCTGATAACAACTCAACAAAAACCGCGGTGGCCAATCCGCCTGCCAAGCGTGGCAACTTTGGCAATATCCCTCTTGAGGCAATGTACTTCTGATGGTTTTAAATAATGATGATGATAATGAAGTAATTCTTACTAGTACGAGGCTTACATTTGAGACCTTTCTTCCCCATCGGTTGTTGGTCCTTCGAGCTATAAAGGCCGGCCCATTATCACATCAGCTTACTGAGGGCTGTATCAAAGCGAAATGTAGGGCGACTGTACACTAGATGGAGTGACGACCTGACAAGTCAATGGAAGCTGGTGGTTTAGGAATGTATTTGGTATTCCTTGGACAAGGCTTATAGATGACTTTTTTTTATTAAGCTGAAGTGACAATAGAAATTACAGTCCAGTATGAACAGCAGTCCATGGACGTTAGCAGCCAACTTTGAACAAAGACTGCAATGCGTTGTTATGTATGAGGACTAAGATGGAATGCTCCAATGCCTGTATTTATACTGGGTTTCTATATACCATTTAGCCCAGACCACAGTAGTGCACGTAGTGTTATTTGGCGGTAGAAGTAGCTATGAAGGTGGTACCTACTCAGACTGACTCGTAGGCAGAAATGGGGTCTTACTACGTAGTAAAATATAGTAAAGTGAAATCATATTGTTAAGAAAACCTATTTTTATATGCAGCATTATTTTTCTTTACGATTGAATTGTATTTATGTTATGGCACCTTTAGAATATCGGACGAACTACTCGCCGAATAATTCGCCGAGTTATTCGTGTACGAGTGCGACGCGTTTATATATTCGTCTGTATTCATTCAACGTAGATCTTTTTAACTGAATTATAACGAGTATAAAACATCGATGGCAATACCACGAATATTCGTGCTAAGAAACTGATATCGAGTGGAGAACAGGCGAATATTCGGGTCGAGTTGTGAGCACATCCGGTACACAGGAAGTTTACATGTTCGTACTCGTACCTAGTCTCGCTGTTCGACGAGTATAGAATATTATTTTTATAATAACTAGTACTTCTGTTACAATGCCTAATTATGGTACCTGATTTTTATTTGCAGATTGCTGTTCAATTCGCAGAGTTACATGACACAGCTGAAAGGATGCTTGAGAAAGGCTGCATATTTGTAAGTTTAAATTTTTTGCGGCAATATTTTTTTTTAAATTTGGGTCAGTCGATAATTGAATAGTTTGATGTGTTTATGCCCAAATTTGCTTATGTTTGAACGCCACCCAATTGCGTTCGAGCTGGCGCGTCACCCAATAGTATGTAGGTGAGATAAGTGCCGAGGTAGGGCGGCCGTGTGCGGCTTGCAGTGGCTCGACGCGTGGGCGATGATGGGGGAGTTGCCCACTGGCCGCGAAGCGGGGAACCCGCGTAGCTGGTTTATTGCGGCTGAAGTTCACGCGACCATTGTCGGGTCCAGATAGATTAAGTGCGTGTTACTTCCTTACGTGGATATGTGAATTTTGCAATATTTAACTTGTTCGGGGATGCGGAATTGTGCACGCGCGCGTCGAGTAGATATACGCTCTAGGATTCGAACCGCGCATTCCTTGTTCGAGAGCTTCTCCCGGTTGATCGTCAGGAAATCATTCTAATTATGCCGTCGCGTTAAGTGCCTTTTTGTGTGTGTTGGCTTGTTAGTTTACGTGTCAACGAGGCATATTTTGAATCTTTTCGCGACGTGGCGTGGAATGAAGGAACTTAGTTGTGTTTAACGCTGAATCGTATGACTCATTTAGAGATCGCTTTAATTCCCTATTTATAATTTTGTGATAAGTGAATCCGGGACATTGAGTGTCGAATTGGAACTACTACAACTGCAAATTGGAACAACTACTGATACTGGTACGTAATATGTGTTTCTAGCATTCTCCTATATAGCTTAGTGTTATAGGAAATTCCATGTGGCCATTTTGGACCCGACCGGCGGCTGCTCGTGGAATCTTCTGCTCATGGGCCCCGGAAGATTCGACCCTTGCTGGAGCAGCTGTAGGCCGTAATATGAATTAAACGTTAATTTTAGCAGTTATTACTATGTATTTTTAATAAGTTTTTTGTTATGGTTTCTGTATTCAATTAATTTTAGTTAAGTCGGCAGTAAAAAATAAGTAGAATTATGCACGTTTTTTGATTCAATAATTATTTTTACTTACATTCAGATAAAAGGAAACTGGAATAGGAGATAGGCAGCAGTATATTTCTGATAAAAATATTAAATGATTAAATACTGCGGCTGCCAACTTGCCTGCCAAGCGTGGCAATTATGGTAAAATCCTCCCATAAGGTGATCTATGGTGAAGGTCTATGATCAGTTGTGGATTTTAATAGGGTTTAATAATTATACACGATGTGTGCGCGTGGGATGGGTATTACAAAGCCCTTGAAATGTAATGTTTGAAAAAGTTACTTTTCTTAAACGTGCGTTTTTGAAAAAGAATAGTATTAATAATTTGGTGTGAAACGGGTTTTCATAAGTGTTACGTTCTCATTGGACAGGACATAATACCGTGGCGGGAGTCGCGGCGGCTGCTGTACTGGCGGCTGGCGCGGCTGCTGCGGCAGAACGCGCAGGAGCGGCGCGTGCAGGCGGCCGCGCGCGCCGCGCCGCACATGGACCAGGGCGCCGCCGCCGCCACGCTGCGCCGCTGGTTCACCGAGGACCGCGGCGAGACACAGGTCACACGAGCACATGGCACGCGACCTCACGCCACGTTACACGACCTCACGTCACGTTACACCGCGCGCGCCGCACATGGACCAGGGCGCCGCCGCCGCCACGCTGCGCCGCTGGTTCACCGAGGACCGCGGCGAGACACAGGTCACACAAGCACATGGCACGCGACCTCACGCCACGTTACACGACCTCACGTCACGTTACACCGCGCGCGCCGCACATGGACCAGGGCGCCGCCGCCGCCACGCTGCGCCGCTGGTTCACCGAGGACCGCGGCGAGACACAGGTCACACGAGCACATGGCACGCGACCTCACGCCACGTTACACGACCTCACGTCACGTTACACCGCGCGCGCCGCACATGGACCAGGGCGCCGCCGCCGCCACGCTGCGCCGCTGGTTCACCGAGGACCGCGGCGAGACACAGGTCACACGAGCACATGGCACGCGACCTCACGCCACGTTACACGACCTCACGTCACGTTACACCGCGCGCGCCGCACATGGACCAGGGCGCCGCCGCCGCCACGCTGCGCCGCTGGTTCACCGAGGACCGCGGCGAGACACAGGTCACACAAGCACATGGCACGCGACCTCACGCCACGTTACACGACCTCACGTCACGTTACACCGCGCGCGCCGCACATGGACCAGGGCGCCGCCGCCGCCACGCTGCGCCGCTGGTTCACCGAGGACCGCGGCGAGACACAGGTCACACAAGCACATGGCACGCGACCTCACGCCACGTTACACGACCTCACGTCACGTTACACCGCGCGCGCCGCACATGGACCAGGGCGCCGCCGCCGCCACGCTGCGCCGCTGGTTCACCGAGGACCGCGGCGAGACACAGGTCACACAAGCACATGGCACGCGACCTCACGCCACGTTACACGACCTCACGTCACGTTACACCGCGCGCGCCGCACATGGACCAGGGCGCCGCCGCCGCCACGCTGCGCCGCTGGTTCACCGAGGACCGCGGCGAGACACAGGTCACACAAGCACATGGCACGCGACCTCACGCCACGTTACACGACCTCACGTCACGTTACACCGCGCGCGCCGCACATGGACCAGGGCGCCGCCGCCGCCACGCTGCGCCGCTGGTTCACCGAGGACCGCGGCGAGACACAGGTCACACAAGCACATGGCACGCGACCTCACGCCACGTTACACGACCTCACGTCACGTTACACCGCGCGCGCCGCACATGGACCAGGGCGCCGCCGCCGCCACGCTGCGCCGCTGGTTCACCGAGGACCGCGGCGAGACACAGGTCACACAAGCACATGGCACGCGACCTCACGCCACGTTACACGACCTCACGTCACGTTACACCGCGCGCGCCGCACATGGACCAGGGCGCCGCCGCCGCCACGCTGCGCCGCTGGTTCACCGAGGACCGCGGCGAGACACAGGTCACACAAGCACATGGCACGCGACCTCACGCCACGTTACACGACCTCACGTCACGTTACACCGCGCGCGCCGCACATGGACCAGGGCGCCGCCGCCGCCACGCTGCGCCGCTGGTTCACCGAGGACCGCGGCGAGACACAGGTCACACAAGCACATGGCACGCGACCTCACGCCACGTTACACGACCTCACGTCACGTTACACCGCGCGCGCCGCACATGGACCAGGGCGCCGCCGCCGCCACGCTGCGCCGCTGGTTCACCGAGGACCGCGGCGAGACACAGGTCACACAAGCACATGGCACGCGACCTCACGCCACGTTACACGACCTCACGTCACGTTACACCGCGCGCGCCGCACATGGACCAGGGCGCCGCCGCCGCCACGCTGCGCCGCTGGTTCACCGAGGACCGCGGCGAGACACAGGTCACACAAGCACATGGCACGCGACCTCACGCCACGTTACACGACCTCACGTCACGTTACACCGCGCGCGCCGCACATGGACCAGGGCGCCGCCGCCGCCACGCTGCGCCGCTGGTTCACCGAGGACCGCGGCGAGACACAGGTCACACAAGCACATGGCACGCGACCTCACGCCACGTTACACGACCTCACGTCACGTTACACCGCGCGCGCCGCACATGGACCAGGGCGCCGCCGCCGCCACGCTGCGCCGCTGGTTCACCGAGGACCGCGGCGAGACACAGGTCACACAAGCACATGGCACGCGACCTCACGCCACGTTACACGACCTCACGTCACGTTACACCGCGCGCGCCGCACATGGACCAGGGCGCCGCCGCCGCCACGCTGCGCCGCTGGTTCACCGAGGACCGCGGCGAGACACAGGTCACACAAGCACATGGCACGCGACCTCACGCCACGTTACACGACCTCACGTCACGTTACACCGCGCGCGCCGCACATGGACCAGGGCGCCGCCGCCGCCACGCTGCGCCGCTGGTTCACCGAGGACCGCGGCGAGACACAGGTCACACAAGCACATGGCACGCGACCTCACGCCACGTTACACGACCTCACGTCACGTTACACCGCGCGCGCCGCACATGGACCAGGGCGCCGCCGCCGCCACGCTGCGCCGCTGGTTCACCGAGGACCGCGGCGAGACACAGGTCACACAAGCACATGGCACGCGACCTCACGCCACGTTACACGACCTCACGTCACGTTACACCGCGCGCGCCGCACATGGACCAGGGCGCCGCCGCCGCCACGCTGCGCCGCTGGTTCACCGAGGACCGCGGCGAGACACAGGTCACACAAGCACATGGCACGCGACCTCACGCCACGTTACACGACCTCACGTCACGTTACACCGCGCGCGCCGCACATGGACCAGGGCGCCGCCGCCGCCACGCTGCGCCGCTGGTTCACCGAGGACCGCGGCGAGACACAGGTCACACAAGCACATGGCACGCGACCTCACGCCACGTTACACGACCTCACGTCACGTTACACCGCGCGCGCCGCACATGGACCAGGGCGCCGCCGCCGCCACGCTGCGCCGCTGGTTCACCGAGGACCGCGGCGAGACACAGGTCACACAAGCACATGGCACGCGACCTCACGCCACGTTACACGACCTCACGTCACGTTACACCGCGCGCGCCGCACATGGACCAGGGCGCCGCCGCCGCCACGCTGCGCCGCTGGTTCACCGAGGACCGCGGCGAGACACAGGTCACACAAGCACATGGCACGCGACCTCACGCCACGTTACACGACCTCACGTCACGTTACACCGCGCGCGCCGCACATGGACCAGGGCGCCGCCGCCGCCACGCTGCGCCGCTGGTTCACCGAGGACCGCGGCGAGACACAGGTCACACAAGCACATGGCACGCGACCTCACGCCACGTTACACGACCTCACGTCACGTTACACCGCGCGCGCCGCACATGGACCAGGGCGCCGCCGCCGCCACGCTGCGCCGCTGGTTCACCGAGGACCGCGGCGAGACACAGGTCACACAAGCACATGGCACGCGACCTCACGCCACGTTACACGACCTCACGTCACGTTACACCGCGCGCGCCGCACATGGACCAGGGCGCCGCCGCCGCCACGCTGCGCCGCTGGTTCACCGAGGACCGCGGCGAGACACAGGTCACACAAGCACATGGCACGCGACCTCACGCCACGTTACACGACCTCACGTCACGTTACACCGCGCGCGCCGCACATGGACCAGGGCGCCGCCGCCGCCACGCTGCGCCGCTGGTTCACCGAGGACCGCGGCGAGACACAGGTCACACAAGCACATGGCACGCGACCTCACGCCACGTTACACGACCTCACGTCACGTTACACCGCGCGCGCCGCACATGGACCAGGGCGCCGCCGCCGCCACGCTGCGCCGCTGGTTCACCGAGGACCGCGGCGAGACACAGGTCACACAAGCACATGGCACGCGACCTCACGCCACGTTACACGACCTCACGTCACGTTACACCGCGCGCGCCGCACATGGACCAGGGCGCCGCCGCCGCCACGCTGCGCCGCTGGTTCACCGAGGACCGCGGCGAGACACAGGTCACACAAGCACATGGCACGCGACCTCACGCCACGTTACACGACCTCACGTCACGTTACACCGCGCGCGCCGCACATGGACCAGGGCGCCGCCGCCGCCACGCTGCGCCGCTGGTTCACCGAGGACCGCGGCGAGACACAGGTCACACAAGCACATGGCACGCGACCTCACGCCACGTTACACGACCTCACGTCACGTTACACCGCGCGCGCCGCACATGGACCAGGGCGCCGCCGCCGCCACGCTGCGCCGCTGGTTCACCGAGGACCGCGGCGAGACACAGGTCACACAAGCACATGGCACGCGACCTCACGCCACGTTACACGACCTCACGTCACGTTACACCGCGCGCGCCGCACATGGACCAGGGCGCCGCCGCCGCCACGCTGCGCCGCTGGTTCACCGAGGACCGCGGCGAGACACAGGTCACACAAGCACATGGCACGCGACCTCACGCCACGTTACACGACCTCACGTCACGTTACACCGCGCGCGCCGCACATGGACCAGGGCGCCGCCGCCGCCACGCTGCGCCGCTGGTTCACCGAGGACCGCGGCGAGACACAGGTCACACAAGCACATGGCACGCGACCTCACGCCACGTTACACGACCTCACGTCACGTTACACCGCGCGCGCCGCACATGGACCAGGGCGCCGCCGCCGCCACGCTGCGCCGCTGGTTCACCGAGGACCGCGGCGAGACACAGGTCACACAAGCACATGGCACGCGACCTCACGCCACGTTACACGACCTCACGTCACGTTACACCGCGCGCGCCGCACATGGACCAGGGCGCCGCCGCCGCCACGCTGCGCCGCTGGTTCACCGAGGACCGCGGCGAGACACAGGTCACACAAGCACATGGCACGCGACCTCACGCCACGTTACACGACCTCACGTCACGTTACACCGCGCGCGCCGCACATGGACCAGGGCGCCGCCGCCGCCACGCTGCGCCGCTGGTTCACCGAGGACCGCGGCGAGACACAGGTCACACAAGCACATGGCACGCGACCTCAC